AATCCAATCGAGAATCTGTGGTCAATCTGCAAAGAACGACTTCATGGAATGGTCATATGAAGTACTAACATGCACATTGGGTCATGTTTCATTGGGAAAATACAAAAAAAGTAAATAATAATGGAATTATTTGCTTTGTTTCATTTAATTAGCACAATGGGTGTAGGTTCAACATTATTGAGTTTCATTATTATATCTATAATAAGTTTGTATCTTGGAGATATAATAAGAGGACGTCATCTATATATCTTAGGTAAGTAGAACTGTTTGGTATGCTGTGTCTAAATATACTGGATTCTAAGAATTCTAGAAAAGCACAAGTGAGAACACCTCTGATAGGTGACCCAATAGATAAGCTGAATTTCTGCTTGTAGAGAATATTGTTGAAATAGAAGAAACAGTGGTCAGTGATTAGTTTGCATATTTTTATAATTTTGTGGATGGGTAGAGGAAGTTTTTGTTTGGACTTTCTGAAGTGGTTTCTCAATATGTTGAGGTATTTCATGATGGGTGTGTTTGTGCATAATGATTTGATGTCTAGGCTCACCATAACCATGTTTTCCATATACACGTTTTATATTCTCTGGATTAAGTCACCAGAATGTTTGATATGTGTTGTGATGATGGTTCCTAGGAATGGAGTTAGGACTTTTGCAATGACTCTAGCTAATTTATGGGGGTGCACTGTTGATATATATATATATATATATATATATATAATAAATTATATTTAGGGGCAGAAATCCCACTTTTATATGAATTTCATTGGCAAAGCACAGTGATTAGGCTTTTTATTAAATTTCTCTTGTACAAATGTACAAGTGTTTTATTTTCTGGACATAGTGTGTAAAAACTGTCCAAATAATCTGTGGATCCAAGTGATTTTCATTAATCTATTAACCATTATCAAGGATTTCTTTTTGTTTAACTGAATATGTAAGTTTATATATATATATAATGTGTGTGTGTGTGTGTATATATATATATAGAGAGAGAGAAAGAGAGAGGGATGTTTTATAATTTCTGAACATGATCAGCACATTGTCGCAATGTTCGTAGTTGATATTATTGAAAGTGGGTTTCCTTTTTTTTCTTATTTATTTTTGAAAATAAAAAAAAACAAAAAAACAATGAAACTTATATAGGTATCTCATTGAATAAATCTACACTTTTTAAAAATTTATTAATTACTCACATATTTTAAAATGGTTTATCATGAGTTAGTTTGTACATAAATCTTCCATAGAATTTAGTTCTTAAATACAAGTTTATTTTCATTAAATTAGTTTTACTTCAAACTAAAGCATATACATTTACTATTTCTATAATACAACTCCTAAACTTATCTATTAGTTAAAAATAAGCTTTTTCTTTTCATTAAATGGTTATGGGGGACACACAAAAATATTAAAAGTAAGAGTGGTCCATGGGTAAAAAAAAAGAACCACTGATTTAATGCATTTGGTGTATTTCCACACAAGATTTTACTACTGTTAATTACTTTGTTGTTTAAATAAAGGATTAACATCAAAATTGTCTTTCACATGATTCTTACAGTGTAATTTCCTCTTTGGAAAGGTCAAATTTCCTATCATGCTTTAACCTTTGAAGAATAATTCCTGAAATTAGGTCAGATTCTATCTCTAAATCTGGAACTTGGTCTTTTTCATTTCCTTTCATTTAATTCATGAGAGCAAGACAGATGTGTTCCTTGCATAAGAAATAAAACCACTGTAGATCTTAAGTTACCATTTTTTGGAAGAATCCTAAATCGCATTTATCCTTTCAGTAGTATGTATCCAAATATCAAAGGTAGCTGTATATTTACCATTACTGCCATTGGTCATTGTTTAAGCCAGGATTTTGAATACTGATTCATTAGGTAAGAAGGACCATCATTTTGGGAATAGTATTCCTATTACATTTTTTATTAAAGTTATTAGATTTATGAAAATATTCTAATGATAAAAAAATGTGTGTAAAAAAAATTATTTTCATAATTTACTACAGTTTGTATAAACATAAATAAATTCTCTTAAAAATAAATTAATAGCCCTGTTTTGTCAGTAACACATGAATTAATTCCAGACCAATAACAATCCATTTTGCACCTACTTTTAAAGAACAATATGTAGATGATTCGATGCTGAAACTTGCTAAAACCAATTTTTGGTGAAACATTGCTAAATCTAGGCTTTGATTATCAATTATGCTTTTTTTACTGCCATAAATATTTAGTTTGTTAGTGCCAACAGGAAATGAAGGAGTACTAGAGAAATTAGTGGGTAGTAATAAATAAAACTGATCATTTGTCTACATAGACTGAATTCAAATGTAGTTGACACTAAATTGATTGATTCATTTTTTTTTATTTCTTCTACTATATATAAGTATTTGTTGGTAGATATGTAGTTAGTAGAGAATAAAAGTTATGAAGTATTTGTTTCATAAATATTATGTTATTACAAGTTACATGGACACATGTATCATTGGTTGCTCGTATCCAACTATGCTGATCTACTAAGGTGACTAATTAGTCCCCATTGCAGACACAGGCATATTTGTCTTTGTTCAACACCCACAGAGCCCACCTGTGGTCTACAGTCCATGTGAAGTTATTATGCAAACCACATAAACATCAATAACTCAAACTTGCATTTGAACAATTTTTGTCAAATTTTAAATGATTAATTTAGACATTAAAACAAAGCTTGAGTTAAATTTTTAGGAAGTTTCAACATTTTTTATTAAAGTTATTAGATTTATTATTGTGTAGAAAGATGACCAATCTTCACTACACTTAAATGTCGAACATGGATTCTTCCATTGTTTATAAAGGTAGTCTCAAGTGGATCATAAAAGAGTCATATAGTGTCACACTAACTACAATATTCACTAGTACTGTATTATTAATCCACTTGATTAAACAGTTCATTCACTAATCTTGTGTTCAAATGCTTTCTTTGGTATATTATTAACCAGAACAGCAACCTTATACAAGCATTATAACAATTATAAAAACTGCAGTCTGAAGTTATTATGCAAAAGCAGAAAATCACTTTTTGCTTCAATAATAAGGTAATAAAATAATCAACACCTATATTAGAAAAAATAACAAACATATATAAGTTTTTGGAGCATGTACATCTTAATATAGTGACCCATTGATTTTGTTAATTTTTTTACTTCAGCACATTCAGTTTCTGACATGGTGGTTTTAATCGCTTTCTATAGGTCTGGTTTGCTGTTATATTGTTTTCCACCTTCATATAATTTCATCTTCACAACTGACCATATATTTTTGTTCAAATTCAGACTTGATGGTGACTATTCCATTATCTTTTCTCCTCTAAGCCTTTTACACTCAAAAATTCAAGGGTAACCTTGTTAGATCCTTTTTATTACCCGTCTTTGAACATATATTATGGAAAAAAGGAAAAAAATAGTTTTTATTATATTTCAGAGGCCTTCAACTATTAGTTTAGTCTGCATAACAACTTCAGACTTCAGTTTTTATAATAAATCCAATAACTTTAATAAAACATGTTGAAACTTCCTAAAAAAAAATTGAGCTCAAACTTTGTTTTGGTGTCTAAATTAATTGTTTAAAATTTGACAAAAATTGTTCAAAGCAAATTCGATTTATTGAGTTTTATGTGATTTGCATAATAACTGCAAACGAACTCTATACTGCAACTATGCTGAGTTAGATAGTTAGAGTTTCTGGGAGAGAGCACATAATCTGTCATGATCAACAGTTTGAACATGGTCAGTACACTCAAGCTCTCGGTCATGATGACTTGTGACTTTGTGCTAGCACAGCCATTGCTATATTTACATAAACATATACTTCAATATATAACATTAATTGCCGAAGGACATTAATTCATGTTTTCATGACTTTACCTGTTAAGTTTCAAATTATATTAACACCCTTTTTTTTTGGAATTTGTACCTTGTCTTCATTTTCTTCTCACTGTTAAAATACCTGCTTTTCAATAATGCTATTCAAATCCGTATTCTATTCTGTGGCAATTTCTACAAATTACTGAAGGTGTTAATGTAGGTGAATATGTGTAAAATTTTAACCTTCTCTTTGTTCTTTTTTTTTCCAGCATACAGACTTGAGCCAGTATTTAGAAAAACACACTGGTGGACTAAATGCTTTCAATGTTAAAGTAAGTTTCTCTCTTCATCTTTATTTGTACAGATCATTCCATTTCTGTGCAAAATGCTACTTAATTATAACAATTCAAAATGCAATGCACTGCACTTTGCAGCCAAAAGCAAATGATTTACATGAAAAGTTTACCAAAGGCAAATAAGTTTTACAACATTCTCAATTCCTTAACTTTACCCATATTGACTGAGTGTGAGAGAATATCAGCAAAAGAAAACATTATTCAGGAGAGAGGACAATAAAAGAACAGGAATTAAGAAGACAGAAGATAATGATTGACATATTTTTTTTAATTTTTGAAGATCAAACTTGAACAGAAAGCAACAAGTCTGAAAAGAGTTCCACAAACGAGAAGTGCAAGAGAAGAAACCTTTAGCATAGAACTTACAGTTACATCTATCCATTTCAACTATAAAATGATGAGACCTTACCACTAACTTAGTACTGCATGTAAATTCATAGAGTCTTGGTACAACAGGAGAAATTAGTATTTATTTTGAGTAATACAAAAATGCGGCAGAAGGCCGAAAAAGGGGATAAGTGAAGGTTGGTCTTCAATCTGTCTTATCTTAAATTTAGCTAGCCAGGATTAGTGACCTAAACATACATACCAAAGTATTCCTTATACCAAAACATCACATCCTTACTTACCATTCTTACTACAGCATCTCAAACTCTCTATGTAGTCCCAAGTAGTTCCCATGTATACAATTTGTAAAGTGGGAATAAAAATAACAAACATTAAAAAAAAAAAAACAATGAATATTTACAATGAATAAATCCAATAGATAAAAGTTCATCAGAAAAATTACCATGAAAATATTTATAGAAAAGACACAGATAAGCTACATTACAGTGGTGTGAGATTGACTTAATCCAAGATGCTAGGTCAGGGCCTATAACATTGCAGATACTTTGGATTTCATCAAGAATTTCTAAATACATACTAGAAGCATCAGAGCAAATGTGGAAGCAATATTCAATGCAATGTAAACTTATAAATGTGTAAAATAGATTCTGGCAAGAAAAATTGTCTTGTACAATACAGTGAACCAACTTTCCTAGCAGCAAACCTATATTCACTATAATCCTAAATGTGATATCAAGTGTTATATAAACAGCTTTCAAGATATGAGAGCCATACATTATTTCTTTTCACCTGATAACCCATATGTCTCCAATATTTATGAAAAATAAATTAGTCAACAATATGAGATGATTTACTTGTTTGCTTTATCGACCAATAACGACAGGATCATTTTGAATAATGTAATTTTTACCTAACAATAAAATACTAAAGAATAAATCTTTTTTTTTTTCTTTTTTCAGTTGTTTGCATTTCAATTGTTAAGAGGACTTGCTTATTGTCACAGGAGGCAGATATTACACAGGTAAGTCAGTAAAACTGAAATCCAAAATTCATTTTTAGAGTGTCTTTATATCCCAAATGTTAGGTTTTTAAGGAATATTACTTCAAAATTTTTTTGAAAGCAGTGATAAAAAATCTATAGCTTAAAAGCATTATTAAAACCCTATTTCCTCTGTGTTGTATATATTGGACTCCCTTTATCACAGAAATAAAGAATTCAGTTTTTCTTAATAATTGGCCCCAAATAGAAAAGTGCTGTGATGTTGGCAATTCATGTATACCAAAGAGAAGCTGTAAAGTGCTTGCTTTAAGAGAAAATATCAAAGTTCTCAACTTAATCAGGAAAGAAAAAAATCATATGCTGAAGTTGCTAATATCTACAGTAAGTATAACATTTACAACTGTATATTATTATAATTGTTCTATTTTATTATTAGTTAATATTTTAATTTCTTATCATGCCTAATAAGATCTACTAATACAGTGAATTTTATTAGGAACAATAAGTCCTCTGTTACATTCTGTGTCGTCAGTTATGCTACTACATAAAATAGTATCAACGAAAAGGACCATTTCTTTTTGTCATTTCTTTTATTAGGAGAGAACAGTGGGAGCAATGATATCACAGGAACACATGTCACATGTTGGCTCAGTATCCCTCTGTGGGTGGTCTTAGCCAGTTGCTAATCTGGATGTGGGAGGTATATCAATGCTTCAGAATTCTTGCAACTCTCTGTTGAATTTGCACTGTTTTGGACATATCCAAAATCCAGACAAAGGCAATCCGTCACTGTAAGAATACTATGCTCACAAGGCACTCCGGCCAATCACTGACCATTCTGGCCTTAGCTTTCACATTCTGTAACACCTGGCTATGATGATAAATTACATCTGGCAGCAAGGCCTCTGATCAGAAGATTGAAGGTTTTGAGAAGTGTGGAACCACATCTTAATTGGTGTTGTTCTTAGGTCCACCCTGACCCAGGGTGTTAGGGTCCCAGCTATGGGAAAATAGTGACCCCCCCCCCAAACAAAAACAAAATACGAAAGTATAAAATACATTTTTAACTTTTTTTATAGTAAAAACACCAGCAAACATTTTTATATAAAAAATTGTCAACAATATCTATTTATAGTAGAATTACCAACAAAACATTTTATCTGTGATTGAAGGCATACAATTACATTCAAAATATTTAGATTTCGGCATTAAATAACCCATAGAGGTTGATATGCCACTAAACAAATCAACCAAACAATCAACATGAAAGAACTTTTTCATGACATTAATCTATAAAATATCCTACAATTTCTTAAACGAAATCATATTTTATTCGCAAATGTAACTTCAAGAAAGCTACCACGTAAAACACATGTATCACCACCTTTATCATGTCCACACAAACATGTATATGCACAAAAGCTGAATATTATCTACCATGTATTCAATTGTGAAAGCAGAATAACATATATTTTTATTACTTCCAAGCCCCCAAGAAAATTAAATTTTGGTATGACCCATAAGGAGTTGATATGCTATTAAACAAGCAAATCAATCAATCAGTTATTAGGCACAATAAGATCTAAAAAAGAAGAAATTTGCCTAATAAGATTTACAGTAAGAACAAATTTTCTATACGTCGCATAAATTTCATTAAAGTATTATATTGTCCTATTTTATTATTAAATATTATTACTAAATTTTTATTGTGGCTAGTTTTTTTTAATTAAACTTTATCATATATATATATATATATATATATATATAATACAAAAAAATGATATATACGGTTCAGTATTATCCATGGTTTCAGGGGGTCTAGGAACATATCCACCACAGATTGTGTGTTGATAGGCGAGGCAACTGATGTATGTAGGTGTATAAGTAAACCCTGAATTTCTGAGATATTAAATCATATTTAAGAATATCTTCACCAAACTGCAAATTTAAGAATGTCTAAATGGACTGAAATCAACTTTCTTTACTTCTTTTTTCTACATAAAAATCAGCATTTGTCCAAAAATCTTGTTCTGATTTTATTATTAAATAGTATTAGAACTACTTAACAAAAAAGATCACTTTTGATTTTTCTTGACAACCGTTAAACTGGCATATATTTTTGAAAACAATTTGTCAAAATTTGTGTGTTTTTTTATTGATTCTTTCAAAACGGAAGAGACTGAGCAAAACTTTTGATAATATGATATTTATTTAAAAAAGGTAAAATGTGACTGAATTTTCAGAAAGCTTTGTGCAAGTTATGAAGAAGGTGCTACAAATGATTGTACATGTCAAAAGTGGTTTGCAGCATTTAAAGTGCCGAGTGAGCAGCATGTTTACAGACAAAATCTGTAGTTTTGGTTTAAAATGGACTAATCTTTTTTCCAAGGAGTTAAATTTTACTTGAGTTACATTTTATATAGAACTAATCTTCCTTGTTATTATTTTTCTTCAGGGATCTAAAACCTCAGAATCTTTTAATAAGTGATGTGGGAGAGCTGAAACTTGCAGACTTTGGTAAGGAGCTTTTTTTTTTATCATACTCTTGTGTGTCTATATCTGCATTCATCATACATATATATATATATATATATATATATATATATATATATATGTAACACTTTTCACAGTACACAAATATTATATAGTATACTGATCTTTAGCAGAAGTGCAAGTCCTACATAATGCAGTTATTTTTTTTACTATGATAATGTTTATATATATATATACACACACACACACAGTCATGCAAAAGTTTATGACCAACTACAAAAAACTATATTTATTTCATTAAAGAGAAAATGCCATGCAAAACTATTTGGTCAATGAAAGATCTGAGATGATAAAGTCATGATAATCGGCAAATTCCTAAGTAGGAATTATTCCATCTGATTAATATGAGTGTAAGGTGTCTTGGCTAATCATTGAAGTTGAACAATAGCTTACTTTTTTACACTAAGATCATGGTTAAAATTTCTACTGAAACAAAGATGAAGGTTGTGACTGTGAAGGGGAAGATGAGTCAACGAAAGACAGCTAGGTGGCTGGGAATTTCAAGAAACACTGTTTAAACCATCATAAAGACACTTGTTGCTACTGGAAGTGTATTAAGTGCAAAGAAAACCAGAAGTCTACAAAAATGAGACAAGAGAGATGAAAGAAAGATTGTAAAAGTCTTGGTAGGCAATCCAAAATTAACAGCCAGACAAGGGAGAAGTTAATGCTGTCTTTAAAGTGAGGTTTCAATCATTACAGTACAAATAAACTTGAACAACAACATAGCAACAAAAAAAAAAGATATTATTAACCAAAAACCATCACAATAGAAGATTGAAGTGGTCAAAAGACATAAAATGCTGGAAAGTGGTAAAATGTATAATTTTTAATGATGTATGCAAAATAAGAGTTACATTCTAATGCATGAGAATGTGTAGAAAGACCAGTGGTAGACAGAAATAATGCAAAATACACCACAAAGATAGTAAAATTTTTTGATGGACACTTAATGGTGTGGGATTGGATCAAAAGAAAATTGTTAAAAGTTGATAGAAGCCTAAACATTGAAAACCTATATTAGTTTACTACAATCTAATCTTCTACCAAACTATGAAGATGGAGAAATTTTTCAGCATGACTCATTGCCACATATATGCAACAAAAAACTTTCTTGTGGATGAAGATGGTCAACTTTTGGAAGAGTGGCCAGCACAAAGTCTTGATCTTTGAATCATTGTGATGGGAACTGAAGAAAAATGTGCTCCAACAAAAACACACAATCTTTAAGTGCTTTGGGATTAATGCCACAAATTCCAAATAAGAAAATCTGAACCTTGTTCCATTCAATGCCACATTGAATTGAGGCAATTATTCAAGCCAAAGGCAGCAACGCTAATTACTATACTTTCTGTAATAATAAAAATTACTTAAAAAAAAAAAAATAACAAAAAAGAAATCAATTTCTTCTGCACTCATGGCTCATGCTTTTGCAGTTAAAGTGCTTTTGATTACTCTCCTAATATATTTAGACTCTCCCCAAATGAAAATAATATAGTCGCCTTGCCTTCTTCCATCTGATAAGTTAGCAAAGGAAATGTTACTTTAAACAAATATATTTACTTTCTTATGGTTATCCAATATCGTAATGGCTATCTGAGATTTTTCTCTCATCTTAATGGCTTTATTGCCTGACTTAATTGAACTTCACTAATATGTTATCTGGTCAGGTTTATGTTACTAGCCAATTTAGTTGACCAATCAATGGCCTGATTTTTGTAACCTCTTGAGATATTTTATATCCAACATTTACCATAGGACATTTACCAGATTTTTAATATATTTATCTTGCCCAAGTTTTAGATTCTCCCCAAATTTCTTGTATGTTCAAACGAATATACTTCAAATTTGGTTGATTCTTTTTATTTAATTTTGAAAAACTTTACAAAGCTGATCTATAAGAGTGGTATGAAACACCTTTGATCCAATAAAACAGAAATCATCAATATGGATAAAGATAATTTTATGTAATTTATGGTAAAAAATATATATCTAAAAATAGCTTGGACACACTCTAAAGGAAGTGTGTCCAGCCTTATTAGTTCTTTTCTAATTCTTAAATACTATACACAAGTTGCATCAGATAATCTATATACACACTTTTGACCATTTCCAAAGCTAACATAGTGGTACATTAGTCTCTGAAGGACACAGGTAAATTTTTGTATCAAATGTCTTCCTTGCAGGAAAGCAGGCTTTATTATGCATTGATTTACACATCCATCTGTTTAGAGATATTTTCCATGGCATCCATTAAACCATCCTTGGAATACATAGGGGAAATCACCTCTAATGTTATTTATCTTGGAAACGCCTTTGCTACTCATCTTGCATTAACTGTTTTCCATGATATTCTTTATTTCTACTGATCCATTTTGTATATCTTCTTGGGTGACTATTTCTCAGAAACTTGTTCAAATATTTTATTTTCTATTCACCTCTCTAATTGGTCTTGCTTTTCCTCCTCTTATTCATACATTCTACATATTAACATTGTATCTTCACTATCAATTCTGTATCATTTGTTTTCCATTCTGAAACTCCATATTCAAAGTCAAACCAAAAGGGCTCATCCTGATCCATTCGTCATAAGTTTGCTTCTTACTGTTACCTCGTCTGCTCTGCTTTGAACATTCGTCATCCTTCATAAATTTTCATTCAAGTGTTTGCAAGTAATTAACTTGTGCAAGTCTAGAAAGCTCAACCACTTTTGTGAAGACTGAAACTTTAGATGGTTTACCTCCTCCCATCAAAGTCTGTTCTCCTTGAGATTACACCATAAATGTGCCGCCTCCCCATCTCAACACCATCTTTTAATTCACAGCTCAGTGTTTATACTCATCAGTAATGTAGAGGGAACATGGCATTTTTTCTCATTGGATACAAGATCACAGTCATAGTCTCATATTTCAACCAATGGTAAAGATGCACGTACCTCCATGTTTGACAAATATCTCTATCTTCTTAATCAGTTATTGTAACTATGGTTTTCATCATCTGTGTGTGTGTGTATATATATATATATATATATATATATACACACACATATAATATATACGTGTATATATGATATATATGTGTATATATATATATATATATATATATATATGACATATAAGAATATGGCTTGCAGTTTGAACAGTATCAGTAATTAATCTACTATTGTTTACCATAGCTTTTTATTGTTATTAACCAAAATTAAACAGAACCATTTTAATAATAAATTTCTGGACTGTTGGTTAATTATTTTGTCTTAATTGTTACTGTAAGTAACTGTATAGTAACTTTATTGACACACTGTATATATGATATATATATATATATATATATGATATATATATTGATAATAGTTTATAACCCCAGGTTACACTTTCCACTAAATACTGTGCATATATATATATATATATATATATGAGAAAATGATATGTAAATTTTTATATATCAGAACATTTTTATGGAAGTGGAAATAATCTTTTTGTCTGACATGTTTTGAAAAAAAAATTTAATTTAAAATTTCAATGTGCCCTCATCATTATGCACATGTAATTATATCATCATCATATATATCTTATTCCTATAAAAATTGTTACAAATTTTTATAGACTTTCACTGGTATAAAGCTTTGTTTGCATCCTCCACCATATTTCCAGTTTGCAATTTACCTGAACTTATTCTGGCCATAGTCAGGATGTTCTTTGCCCGAGGAAAATTTTTGTTAGTCTTACACACATTTTTTCCATGTTCTACAGCCTTGAAGTTGTGGAGGAGCCTCAGTCCTCTTAACGTTTATGTTGATTCTATGTTCTTTTTTTTCTTTTTTCAGGGAGAGAATATTTAGTCTTTTTTATTTTACTCTTATTTATTTTTTTAAATCTTTTAAGGCCTTGCACGTGCCAAGTCTGTGCCTAGCCGAACTTATTCACATGAAGTAGTAACTCTCTGGTACCGGCCTCCAGATGTCTTGCTAGGCTCAACAGAGTATTCAACATCCTTGGATATGTGGTGAGTGGTGCTTCTGCAGAATCCAAGTCAAATAGAAATGATTCCAAATAATATTTTATTTTAGAACAAGAAAAGTTTTAGTGTCAAAATGGGAAGATTGGAGGATGGGCATTTAATTTATAACTTCTTTTTCATTAGAAAGTCGTCTCTTGCACTCTGGATGTCACTGCTTCAAAATTATGTCAAATTCAGATTATTACTTCATAAACCTTAATTTTTTCACTGTTTTGACTGTGAATAATACTATTACAAATGTTCATAATTATTGTTTTATAAGATAATGAAGATATATATTTTTAAATGACAGATTTATAATCTGAGTATAATGATAAAAACATTGTATTGACAAGGAAGAATAATATTAAACAATGATTCTATTTTATAGCTAAATGATTACTAATTTCATTAAGAATAATAAATCATTTTTATCTAAAATATTATCATATTAAAATACAAAATATAATCATAATATTATCATAAACAATTTTAAAACAATTATAATAATGACGTTGTCAATTTTTAAAATCTTTATTCTTAAAATCTTTTTTTATTTTATATTTGCAAAAAAACATTTCAGTTATACTAATTGGGAAGTATTCATCCTCAGGTGGAGATATTTCTACAAATTGGTTGTGTTCTGCTCAAATTGAGCAGACTTTTTTCAGAGATGTCCTTTTTTTATCTTTTTTGTATATTTTAAATGAAATCTTCAATAAGCAATATGCTTTGGATCTAATGTGTTTTCAAACCAACATAGGTTTTTTCTTCTTCTTAGGAATACAGCAAATATGTTCCAACATTTATTAAAATCTGACAAACGACTGGCTTTATTAGCAGATATTTTATTAGGACATCTCTTTTCTATTAGGATGGAAAGAGTTAAAAGTTGAAAAAGCCACTACTTAAAACCTCCATTTCATCAGGATGATAATAAAACTGAACAGTTTTAATATACAGTCTGATTGTTTCTCAATGTTTTTATCATTTCTGATGAAAGAATTGTTTTTTTCTTTTTGCAGGGGTGTTGGTTGTATATTCACAGAAATGGTGTCTGGAGTTGCTACATTTCCAGGAATGAAAGATACTTATGATCAATTAGATAAAATCTTTTGGGTAAGTTAATGCATCATCTCTGATTTTATCAGAGCAAATTACGAATTACAAATGTCATAAAAATAGTATCTCTCTGCTGGTTTTTGTGTATTTTTCGAAATAATGGAGGTATCATGTACTTAATCACTTGTAAATCCACTTGGTAAAACAATATGCGGTTAAAAGTATTCGTCAGTCAGCTGTAAATGATGACGTAAAGTTTGTAGTAAGGGAGATAATTCAGTTTCAAGTATTAAATATATTTCATTTAACACGTGGACGATATCGTCTGTTTTTATTTATTAACTAAAAGTTTTTATGATATTGAATATAATATGCAAGTTCTACTGTGTTTGATGGCATATAAAGCCATTTTTTATTCACTCCCACCAAATAAAAATAAAAAGTCTAAAAAATATTGAGGTATTTTACCTAATCTCAGTCTATAACAATGTAATAAATGTTAAATATAAATAGGTGGACAATTCTTATCTTTCATTAACTACAGTATTTTTTAAATTTATATATATAAATAGTAAGAATAAAAGCTAACACTTAAAATAATCTAAGAGCTTAAAATGTAAAATAAACTAAGGGTTCAATATTATTTCTACCTGATGATAGTTATAACATGAAAATCTGAGTAGCAGAGTTTGATATTATTTTGTCTAGTAAAACCATATTGTAGGGTAATCATTCCAATCCTCATTAGGTGTCCCACTATTCTGGCCCTGGGCAAGACCAAGCTTAGTCAGTCAGTTATGTGCCAGTCATGATACACACTTAGGCAATCATGTATCTTTTGATACATGACTGACAAGGCAGAGTTTTTCCTACAGTAGGTTGCCATTTCTTTCTGCGGTAGACCAGTTGCCATCCAAGGCTATAGAATCTTGACTGTACTGCTATTTACCCATAGCTGGGATGAGAAGAAGAGGATACATACCTTTCCCAAAGGTATTAGCACATAAGTGAATGTAATGGATTCAACTGGAAAATTCAGATGCAGTTCTCTAATTCCTTAATCTGAACCACTATCCACTAATCCATCATGCCTCCTCTAAGCTTAGTAAATATCTATAATAAATGACTTCTTGTGCAATCTTATAAATTTGACCCAAATTTATTATATATTAAGATTTATTTAAAATGGAATTTTTTCCCATTATTTTTTATTGAATTGATTATGATTAACAACATTGCTGTTGCTTTTTTATTTTATCAAGCTTTGCTTTCATTTATGATTGAATGACTTGAAATTTCACAATAATCAGATAATAAAGATGAGAATGTTAAACTGAAGTAATGTACTACAAAAACGTGTAAAACGGTAAAAATAGAAATATCTACTGAAACTGCATTCTCACTGAACATACATGTGTATTTCTATCCAACAATTTACATTTTTATTCAATTTGTTCAAATAAAAATAAAGAACACACATTTTACTTTCAGGATTTAATCTTTATTTTTTTGTTCAATTTGCTCAAATAAAAATAAGAAATAGAAATAACACTTTTTACTTCCATGTTTTAATCTTTACTTTATTTATTTATTTTAGCTTCTGGGAACTCCGACTGAAGATTCATGGGAAGGTGTCTCATCCTTTCCTAACTATGATATAAGTAAGAATGGATAATTTTTTTAATTTTATTATTTATTATTATTGTTTAACATGTTAATTGAGAATCTTGTCATACTTTTACTGCAACACAGGAATTGTTGCCTGTTTCTTCAAGATGGGTACGTAAAGATTATAAGTGGTTACAAAATATTTTTTTAAATCTCTTTTTTTTAAGAATATTTAGTTAACTAGAGAAATCTGTAATCTTTATATAAAAATATACTTCTTAGAGTGTTTACTGTAACTGTACATTTTTCAGTGTTATTCACTAATTTTTTAAATATATTTAAGTTTTTGCAATTTATTTTTAAAATGTTATTTTTTTTACCTTAGTTTTTAGTATAAAAATTTGAGGGACTTTACATTATTTGTTAGAACTTATAGATTGTCTTAGTGATAAAGTGAAGAAATTGTGTTTTTTCTGGGTTAAGAGAATCACAAGTAACAAAAAACAAAATATCAAGCCCTGCTTTAAATAAATAGAAATATTGTTTCTTTGTATGACCATTAAATTGTTAACAGAGTAATGGGTTCAATCTATTATGATAAAATTCTTGTAGGTCATGTCAGGAATTATTTTCTCATTTCTGTTAATATATATATAATATTGTTAAGGAGACTATTAGCAGTAGGAATTGCTTTTTTTTAAAATAAAGCTAGTTAAAATTAAAGGCTTTGAATGTTATCTAATGACGACAATCTTTTTTATTTATTCACCTAATAACCTAATTCATACTTAATGCAAGGGAGATAACTTGCAAATAAAGTTAGCAGATTCTTTTCTGTCTCAATTTCTGAGATGAAGAGTTATTTACATTCGGACTATTGTCCTCATCTTTGTTGTGATAATAACGACAAAAATGAGGACAATAGTCCAAATTTGCATAGCTTTTTTTTTGTTTACATATATATTTCTTTTAAGCTTTTTAATTTTTCTTGTTTTTCTTAAAAGTATTTTGATTGATGGATCATGATTATAACTATATTTATGACATTATTTCTTCAAATGCTTTCATCTCTCTCTCTCTCTCTCTATATATATATATATATATATATATGCTACAAACACATACACACTTGTGTATGTATGCAGCAAGAACTCAATCAAACAAGTTTTCTTAAATTCAACCAAATTAAATTCAATTCTGTTTATTTTTTTATTTTATATATTTCTTTTCCATTTACAAATAAGTTGTTGCACATTTGGATCAAATTTGTAAAGAAACTGTCCAAAATTATGTTTTTATTTGAGTATTTTTCAACTATTTCTGATCATTGTCAGTTTCATAGAGAGACATTTTAATTAACTTCATCCTTATATTTTAAGAGTATATTTCACATTTAAATATATGTTTATCATATAATATCATGTGTAAAGCATTCACAAAAAGTGACAATACCAGAGAACAATGATGTTATTAGATATTTTATACACATTTTAAAATTCTTTTCTAGGTTAACTTGTGACTCGTCAGAATATTATGCAATTTGTGTACATATTGATAATCACATCAAAACTAACCAAACTATAGCAATTAACTTGAGACAAATATTAATAGATAATGCTAAAATACTATACAGTACTCACTGTAAAGAAAAACATATAAAGTCATCATTACAAAAGAAACAAATCACATTAAATACAATGCCTTTCACCACATGATTCCATTTAAAAATGTGTATAAAATATCAAGACATGATTACAATTTTTTCTTTCTTTTGTAGATAAATTTCACATATACAATCCACAACCCTTTACTACTTCAATTCCCAAATTAGGCTGCATACCTAATGCTCCGGAACTTTCCACACGTCTCCTTCAGGTAACTCAAATCTTTTTTCTTTTTTTTATCTATTTTTACTTTATTTTTTTATGAGGGTGGGGGGTATTCAGTGCACCTATGTCACTACCAAATGTGACACAAGGTTGATTGGCATTGCCACTAAACCCACTTTAAAAGTGGGTTTAGTGGCAATGCCAAGGAAAAGTTGCTCAAGCCTCCTCAACACATCCCTGTGTAATGACCCCAGCTCCCATCTGGAGGAGAAGTACTGCTTGGCTTGATAGCCCGCTGAGGATTTAATTAATAATATTTTTAATTTTGCAGGCTGAAGTCAGGTAGGTATAAAAAAAAACGCAATGAATTAAATGTAAGGGGCAAAACTCAATTTTCATGACAAATTTCTTTTGGCTTTGAGCATTTTTTTTATATATAAGTTTTAAACTTTAAATTAAGATGTTAAATGTTTCTGAACGTCTTTTTTCATTAGTTTGAAATTGCTTTTTAAAACAAGAAAATAATTTCCAGAATGTGAATCATTTAATGAAATTGTAAATATGAAGAATTTACAGACAATAAATAAATTCTCTTGCTGATATGACATTCACAGTAAACCAAAATAAGTTGAGATGGATTTTAAAGTCAATCAAGTTATGTGTTATACACCAAATGAAAAATTCTCTCTGTTTTAGATGGAACCTAGTAAACGGATATGTGCAGAAGACGCTATGAAACATGAATATTTCTGGGATCTCCCTCCAAAAGTTCATGATCTTCCTGATGGTAAGTATTTCACAGTACTTTCTTAACAGCTTCACTGATTTATCGTTATAGTATTTTTTGCATGGCTGTACTGGCCCATTTTAGGAATAATAGGAAATTACTATTTACAAAAGAAAGAGAAAGAAAGGAAGAGTGGTAGTTTTCTGTTTTTATTTTTATCTTGGTCAGAGTTGCCAAATTTTAAGATCCACTGATACTAAATCTTTAATGAAATTCCTTTTCATCAATAGCCAATTTTTTTTAATAATCATTTCACTCCAAGGTGATAATGCCACTGAGATGCAAAATGTTACTGAGAGTGAAAGAAAATGAGACAACATTAGTGAGGAGAGAGGACAATAAAAGAACAGGATTCAGGAAGATATAAGATGGCAATTGGTATTACATTTAAATTTTTGAAGATTGTAAGTTATATAGGAATAAAATGCCACTTCTGATACTGTAGTTTGAACACAGATCACCAAAGAGCAAAGACAGTTGATCCTGTTTTGAATAAGTAGATCACATGATGGTAAAGGAAATGTATATATATGGGAATTAACATGGCATCTAAGTGATGCAAGTGATTCGGATATTGGAGCAGTGATACTACACAAATATGAGGACAGAACAACTAAACCAATAGCTCATGCTTCAAGGTCATTAATTGCAGCTGAAAAAAAGCTACGGCCAAATAGAAAAGGAAGCATTGGCCATCATATTTGCCATGAAAATTTTCACAAATTCATACATGCTAGAGAATTCATACTACAGACAAATCATCATTCATTATCATCCATATATGGATCAAAAAAGAGTGTTCCCACACATACAGCAAATAGACTGCAGTGCTGGAGAACTATCCTATTGAATTATAATTATAAAATGGAATTTTTACCACCCCAAAAATTAAGTCATGCCAACGAATTGTCTAGACTAATACCAAGATTCTGCGAGCCACTTGAAGACACAGTAATTGCGGCGATAAGGACTAAAAATGAAATTAATAAAATACTGTAAGAGAACTGCCCATAACATTGGAGGAAATAAAAATTAAGGCAGAAAAAGATGACTTTATAATGAAAATGAAAGAGAAATTAAGATCTAAAGGAAAAAATAGTATTGGAAATAATGCATTTTTATTATGTAATGATGTACTTATGTACAGAGAGAGAGAGTGGTGATACCAGCATCGTTGCAAAGATGTATGTTAAAAGAATTTCACAGAGGACATCCAGGAATTTCTAGAATGAAATCCTTAATGAGGTGTTATACTTACTGGCCAAAAATGGATAAGGATATTGAAAATTTAGTGAACTCATGCAGAGTTTGTGCTCTGGCAGCAAAGTTGCCGCCTATCAAAATTCAACTTTGGCTGAAAACCAATATGCCATGGTCCAGAATACATATAGACTTTGCATGACTGTTAAATGGAGCATACTATTGGTAGTCAATAGTTACACTTAATGGCCAGAAATATTAAAATGTAGAAGACCGACTACTGCGGTAATGATAAATTTCCTACATGAGATGTTTGCAAGGTTTGGTGTTCTTGACTATTGTTTCAGATAATGGGACTCAATTCACATCTAGTGAATTTAAGTTTTTTTGCAAATCATTAGCAACAGAACATATTACAACTTCCCCTTATCATCCACAATCAAATTGACAAGTGGAATGGTTTGTCAATATATTTATATGGGCACTAAAATAGTCAGAAGAAGAGGAGTCAGATGAAGTAATGATTTAGCAATTTCTGAATGTTTACAGAATAACACCAAACCCGAACACCATGTCTAGAATGTCACCTGCAGAGTTGATGTTCGCCAAGAAGATTAAGTCTGTTTTCAATAAGTTATTACCAGAATCAAGAAGTAACAATACAAGTAGATACTTCAAACCAGAAGATAAGATATTTTTTAAGATGTATCAGTGCAGAAAGGAATTCCGGGAAGATGGCATTATAAAAAAAAAAAAAACGATCAACAAAATGACATACATAATACAGAGACAAAGGTTGGAACATAATTCTGTATGACATGTTTAACATACCCACACCATCAGAAATTGTTGAACCAAGGGTTTATGACAAAAGAAAAAGAACACCAATGGAATTTCTAACTAATGAACTAAAGCTGAAGAAGTATAGACTCCAGGGGAAGTCATCTCAAAGGAGATGTGTTATATAGGAATAAAGTATCACTGCCGACACTGGAGTTTGAACACAGATCACCAGAGAGCAAACACAAGCAATTCCATTATGAATAAGTAGATCACGTTATGATAAAGGAAATGTATATATGGCAATTAGCATGGCATCTAAGATTATAGATTACTATTCAGTGGTTACTATTTGAGCAAGTATTATCGAGCAAGTACTATTAGTGCAAGTGTTATTCGAAAGTGTCTGACACCAGTATTGTTCAACAGCATTACTATAGTTGTATCAGCAATTACAAAGTCTCTACTACAACGAGCATTACAAAAGTGACAACAAATATTTGTTGACATCACAAAATTGTAGTTGGCAGGGAAGCAAGAAACAAGAAGAGAAACAGGTGAGAAGTGCAAGAAAATAAAACTATTAGAATAGAATTTACTGTTACATGAAGTTATTTCAATGGTAAATCAATGAGACTTAGTTGCCAGTGTAGTAATGCACTTAAATTCATACAGTGAAGCTACCAAAGAAGGAAGCTTATTTAAAAAAGTAGCTGCATTAGTTTCAAGTAGCAAAATTAAAATTATAACAAATTAGTCTGAACTTTTATACAATGATTAAAAAAATTTTAAAAATGGAATGAATGCTTGTTTATTTAAAATACAATATGGCATTATTTTCTAAAAGGTTTAACACCAGCATTGTTACTTGGCTATGCTGGCTTGTTTTATGAAAAATAGAAATATTGCCATTTATTGAAAATAAATAACAATAAAAATGCTGACATTGATTTCTCATGGGTGCAACCATTTTGAGTTTGATCAGATACTCAAACTAAGCTAGATGATACTACCCTCCCCAGCACAATAAAAAATAAGTTACAAAACTAAACATATTGCATGCTACTATATGTCTACACTGGTTTTGAAATAGCACTCTGTACTAGTTAGTTTATAGTACAAAAAAATGCTAGGGAACTGTATTTCATGTCATCTTGAAAATATATGCATGACAGCAACAGGTAATATAAGTTTAATAAAGACATAAGTTTCTTTCTTCTGATGTCAGGTCAGCCGGTAAGAACAGGTGAAATGTTTCTTATACTGATGTGTCTGTTCAAAAATATTTGTCAAAGTTTAGTCAGCTACTATTTATGTAAAAATATTCCATCCATAAATCTAATTATGTATATTTTAGAATCTAAATTCATTAGTGTATGAAAGTATTTCCTCAGAACAAAGAAATTTATTTGCATTTAACTTTGTGACTGTTGATCTCATTTTGCATTAGTCATTAATGAATTTACTCCTTTTGTATACCAATGTTATTTGAGCAAGAAAGAAATAAAAAGAACAAAAAAAATGTTTTCAACACTAACTCACGCTCCTGTAATATCTAAGTTTACATGTCCCCAGCTCTTTTTTTAAAAAAAGATAAAAAAAAGAAACAAAAAGGTATGCAAAGTAATAGACTTACACATTGCTTTCTCCCTTTTTCTAGAGTTTTGAGTCATCACCTTGATTGACAAAAAACAAGAAACAAAGCAAAATCATATATTGCCACTTGCACTTTTCTATTTCCTTGCTTCCTCATCATTGTCTCCACTTTTCTTTTTGTGACATGTCCATTAGACAAGCAGAGCTTTTTTTCCTCATACCCATTTACTCCTCCAATCATCTCCCATAATGAAATCTATTCCCCCACCCTGATTTCAACCAATAAATTACCCCCACCCACTATCTTACATTTTCTACCTCCACAATGATCTGTTGGCTGGAAAGAAGTTAATTTTACAACATTCATTTCTTCTCACTTTCTTTCTTGCTCACTTCTTTTACACCACAACTAAAGTTCTTATTAACTGGATAGAACTCTCTTTCATCTTTTATTCCTTTGATTTCTTTGTATATATCTTAGTATCTTTAAGAGTTTTAAAATGAAGTATTTTCATTATTCAACAAAATATTTGGACGACTCTCTTCATCTTTATTGTTTTTATCATATTCTGGTTAAGATGTTCTTTGGCCTTCCTCAGGTTGATCATGTTCAGCGTATTGTTTACCACTTAAAGTAAATTTTATGCTCACAAGAAAATCTCAAGCTGAGGAAAGTCAACAAAAACATACACACAGAAAATTAAATCTGTCACCAAATCATTTTGGATACTGTCATAAAAATCAAAAAATAGGCATTTAGAGCCTTCATCCAAATTAATACATCAAATCTGAAAACAACAGAAATACAAGTGAAAACTACACCAAGAGTTCAATATTAACAATAAGCAATTGATATATAACAGATCATTGGCAACATTGACACTGGAGGCACAATTTACACTGAGGGCTGGAGCAAAGAGAGAAGAAACAAAGGTTTGCCAGAGAACAAAAAAAGGACAACATTGGAGAAGAGCATCTTCACATGCATTCATTGCAGTCGAGGCTGTCACTCCTGTGTGGGCCTGTACAGCCATAACAGATGCTGCACCACCATCAGCAGGTCTCTCAAGATCAATAGATGTCATATATATATATATATATATATATATATATATATATATTGGAGATATTTCTGTCACACCTTGTACATTGCTGTTGATTCAATCAAATTTTTCTAGGTTTCAAATTTAATCATTCCCCTATTTTTCTCCTTTATTTTAAGGTTAATGGTAACAAAACAAAATATTATTTTTGGCATTTAGACATGAACATGCAAGATCAAATACATTTTTCAGAAAGTACTTAAATTGATAAAGGAATGTAAAAATGGATCTAGATTTTTATGGTTTACTCTCCAGCTTGTTAATAATATCTGATAGCTCAGTCATATAAATTATTAATCTTGTAAATAATTCTTGGTTGCTTGATTCCTTTATTATGGATTCTCAACCCTTTGCAAGTTATTTAAAGTCAGAAAATATTTTTAGATTGTAAGAATTTTTTTGAGATAATAATTGTTTAGAGATACTAGTCTTACTAATTAACTCATAGCTGGAGGGAGAAGTGGATTCATACCTTTTCCCAAGGGTATTTGTACATAAGTGAATATAACAAACCCTACTGGAATTGGAACTCATCTCTGCGATTAACAATTTCAAGTCATTATCCATTGCACCAGCTGCACATCCAAGCTTACAGCAGCTGGTATTCTCAAGCAGTCACTCATGTAATTACTGATCAGGCTTCATGTTGCTTAATTTCAGTGATCATATGGGAACTGGGGTTTCAACATGATGTTCTCATAAGCTCCACTGTAAATAAGGATATGTAGATCCCAGAAGTAACAAGTAAGCCAATTATGTTACCAGTAAATTTGAAATATTATACAATGATTACTTTAATTCAAAAGAGCTTCATTTTTTAAAACTCAGTCACTCAAATTTCAGCCTCTTCCCCAAAATTCAGTTCAAAAATAAAACTTGATTTTCTTTTTTCTTTGTTTTTCAGTGGCTTCAATATTTGACATTCCTGGCCTGAAGCTTCTCCCAGAAATGGACGAACTAGTCAATGCAGCTCCAAAGAAACCTACTGGTCGCAGTGGTATACGTACTACTCTCAAAGTGTGATTCCAGCTTTGACTGCGATTCTTTCATTTATTAGGTAAATGAAGGCACAGAATAATTATTTATAAATATTATTCTATTACTTGGATACAATATTCTAACAAAATGAATTTAAAGTAAATGAGATATATATATATATATATATATATATACACATATATACACACATATATATATATATATATATATATACACATATATACACACACACACACACACTAAAGTCCGTACACATAGACAAAATTACAAATTTTCAAGAAATTAGATTTTCAACAACATTTATTTGAATTGAAATATTAACAAGAAACATGTTTAATATGATTTCCATCATTTGTGGAGCAAAAGTTGATGTGTTTTGCAAGATTCACATGAACTCAATGCAATAACTGCACATTCCCATCAATTTTAGCACATTCACTCTTTATGCACTTAATCAAGTGTGTTGCATCTGTGATTTTCATTGAGTACACCTTCTCTTTTAGCATACCCCAGAAAAAGAAGTCAATTCTTTCTTCTTTCGACAAAACCATATTTGATCTGTGGAGGTAAAAAAAAAAAAATAGAGTTAATGAAATTTTTTATGTGTTCAGACTTAATATAAATAGGATCTATAAAATTTCTTTTGTAGCAGAAACTGGAATCCTATGTAGAAATTTACAGTTTTAAAGTTGTCAGTATTCATGCATTATTTTGAGCTAATATAGATCTTATTACTGACACAACGAGCAAGTACCCTCTGGTGAACATCAGATGTCCGTTGATTGCAGATATCTGTTGATTATTGTGATATTTTTGTCCCTGTAATGGCAGTTCCAACTGAATTGGTGCATCACTAACAGATCCAAGTATTGAACTCATGACCTCCAGAATAACTGTAATGCATATATAACCAACTATAACCACCATGCCACTATCCTGAAGGACATTAGTGGGTTTTTTCTGGAACCTTTTATATTTAATGTCAGATGTTTTTTGACATTTTGACTATGATGGCATAATCATACTAAATTTGGTATTCTGGTAGTCACACACCAATTCAGAACAATAACTGATATCACAGGAAGAAAAATATCACAATAATCAAAAGATATGCCATATCAGCCAATCAATAGATACCTGGTGATGATGATGACCAGAGGACATTTGGTCAAAATCTGTCATGAGAACATGAACTCAAAACAATGCAAATGTATCGTTGTTTAATGTTTCTTTTTAAATAATGCCCATCTGTTTTCATTTTTTTCAGCAATACTTAATGGTGTTCCAGAAAATGCTGAAGCCTAATCAGATGACAGCACTTGACGAAGGATTTAATGAGTAAACTGTATATATAATTGTGCAACAATTGTGCCAGTGGCCCTTCTCCCTTGGCCACCTGCCATGTTTCTTCCTGAAGACTCGTACAGCGAGCACTGCCAGTGGATCATTGTCTTTTTACTCCTTCATCTTCTACTGCTGCCAATGCTGATGTACTTTGGAACAGTGTTATCAGTGAGGCTGTACCCTTTTCTTTTGACATTCCTCTACATGCAAAAGTACCTTCACAAAACACACACACACACACACCTGCATGCCTACCAACCTCACTGACTCTTCCTTGCAGTTTTAAGCAAAAAACACAGGTAATTGTTCAATGGAAAAACTCATTGAAACAGTCGTTTGACTGGAAGTCTTCTTTTGCTGATTGGACTATCCAGAAAAGATCGATTGATCACAGAAGGCAACCAACACGTTATCCTTTCTCTATTTTCCACAATCTTTCGATTGTACGACAATATAGATCATGGCAAAGCCAATTTTTGTGCCTATCTTTTAATCTTTGTTTCACCCTTTTTCCTCCCTAACTTCCTCCCTCCCGCCGTTCAATTAGTTTTGATAATGCCGATAGCTGAAGGCTAGAATTTTTTTCCCATGTGGATTTCAGGAAGAATGAACTCTGTCCTTATAGGGAGAAAACTGGGAAATTCTACAGCCAGTCTTCCTCCCAACATTGTTCACAGACTGCCATGCTAAATCGGGGGGGGGGGGAGAGGAGACGTGAGTTTTGTATTGAGATTTGAGCTGCAGGACAGAAACTATTCAGTATTGGGAGTTCTCTCCCAGCATATATTTTTCAACAAAAAAAACAGAATCAGTTTTGAATTTGTGGAAAAAAAAAGTAAAAGAAAAAAAAGTTCCTGCCTCCAATCCAAGACAATCTTTAAACATCTGAGTGCCTCTTTCTCTCGTATTGTCTCTTCCGTTTTATCCTAGTTCAAGAAAGTGCTTCGAGTCATCTCCCCCTCAGCTGAGGCCAGATAATGTTTCTTGTTTTAAGCTTACTTGAATAGACAAACATTTTCATGAGAATTAATTAGACCTTCACGTTTTTTTGTTTTATTAACCAGAGTTTGAGAATTGTTTCTTGTGCAGGAAGCCAACTTTTTCATAGTGAGGTTACAAATTTTTGCAACATACACTTCTGTCTTTGGGGCAGCCCCACAATGAGGTGAAGAACCATTACTGAGTTTGATCCTTACTGGATGCTCCTAAACTTACAGCCTTATGCCATGCTAAGCTTAGTAAATATCAAGTTTTCGATCTTTACCCAGAATAATTATGGCTGCCTTGCTCTGGATTAATAGTAAACAATCTATTGTTACACCCTTATTACTGTAGTGTCCCACCTCATGGTCTTGTGTCAGACCTAAGTTTAGTGACTATCTAATTTTGAGTGCTTTATCATGAAGCAAAGGTTAGTCAGTTAGTCTCACAGACCAATACAACTGTAGTGAGATTGATCCTCACTAGGTGACCTTCACTTGGGTCACACTAAGCTTGGTGAATACATCTGTTTTGATATTTATTTTTTTTTGGTGGGGGGGTCATGAAAAAGTCTGCATAAGTTTGATTTCTTCTTTTCTTTTTTTTTCCTTTTTCTTTTTTTTTGTCTGTAAAACTGAAGTGTAGATCCAATTTTTTTGTAGTCAGTACAATTTTTATCTCTAACAACCTGAAGTGGTGGCCTTAATTTGCACCCTACAGTTGTTTCTGCATGCGCTACATGTGTAATACCAAAACTGGTACTGACTAAGTACTACCTCACTGGGTTCCTACACATATCCTGCCTAATTAAAACCCCACCCCCTACTCCCAAATATTTCATAAGTGCAGTAACATCAATGAATGATAATTTAAAAAAAAAGAAAAAAACTTACAAAAAAAAATGAGAGGAGAGGTTACCAACTCTGCCTTTATGTCACTGGTATGATCTAACGGTTGGCTTTAGGAAGCATACTTATTGATTTTTCTGTCATATGGAGCCAAAGAACGAGCATTGATTTTTCTTTTTCTTATCTTTTTTTTTTTCTTTCTCTCTAATTTTAGAAGCCTAGCCAACCCTCTTTAATATTCACCATAGTTACAAAGTTGTGGCTATTCAGTATGAAATGATAAAAATAACCAAATCACCCCATCTATTTGTTGTTATACCTTAACATTTATCACTCTGTATGTGACTTCATTTGCTTTACAAAAAATTCATCCTACCACTGAAGGTAACTCTGATCCCTGAACAATAGTGTGTCTGATATAGTTGTGTTGTCATATCCTGCTATGACAACAGAAAACAACTTTGAGTGAAATTAACAATAAGGATATTGCAATTGAGAGGCCTTGAAGAAGAATGCAGTGGAAAGGGAAGTAATAATAATAATAATAATAATAATGCAGAGTGGTAAAGGTTAAGGAGTGGATATATTCAATCATTGGATTCTTTTTTTTTAATTTTGAGGGAAGAATTGATATTTTTTTTTTATATCCCTGTTTATCCTCCAAGGCTTGTAAGAAGTTCTGGTTTAGTTTATAATAGCACGCAAGAAATTGGACCAGACTTTCATTATTTTCTGATTATGCCTTCTGGAATCAAAGCTTAATTTGTTTTCTCTCGATGCTTTTGTGTTGATTCTTTTACAAGTTTTTACTCTTCCGTGTTTAAATCTCTGTTGTAAATTCAGTTTTGAAAGCAGAGCCTTTTTTGTTCTAAGGCTAATAATTTTCTTTTATATATAATTTTTAGGGACAAACATTTTTTGTGAAATAAAACCTTCCCACCTCTTCATGCCTATTATCTCAACTTTATCCAACCAGCCTAAGTGTCATTTGGATAAACTGAACTTTAAATGTTAATATCTGCTCAACCTTAAACAGCTGACTAACTCAACTTGCTTTCCCTGTAAGAAGGGAAACTCAATATTGATATAAACAGAGGTCTTCTTTTTTTTTAATAAACAAGAGATATTTTCATTTTCTGTCTCTGCTGGAATTTCTATTGATGTGATTTTGTTTTTTCCTCTTTTTTTTTTTTTTGTTCCTTGATTCCTAATTTATAGTTTGTTTGTAGAATTATCTCATCACCATAGTTAAGCTCTCCCTAAAGCTGTTTGTAAATGTCCCCCTGCTGGGTGTCTTAAGGCCCTGCCAATGGAACTCTCTCCTCTTTGTATATAGTCTCCCATCTCACTCAAACACACACACACACACACACACAAAGACATCATCATTGGATGTTTCCAAACTGACAAATATAGCAGGCAACACATGATGCTCACAGCGCAGACTGTGTTTCTGAAGATAAAATGGCCAATTGTACATTCCTGCAACCTTTTTTTTAATGTAACAGCCTGAAATAAAAATACTTTCTGTAAAAATTTGTGTTGCTGAAATTTTATTTTTCTGAAGAAAAAAATGGAATCTTTCATGAATTGACACTTTTTTTCTTTTTTTTTTTTGAGGTGGAGTTCTAATAATTGTCACAACACTAATCTGAAAGTCTGGATTTTTTCCTAGGCTAATTTCAGTAAATTTTAAAGCATTAAATGGGAAGATATGAAAAGATTGATCATGGAAAGTCATACATTTCCTGTGTTAAGGATTCCACTTGCAATGTTTGGAACATTCATAATTTTAGAGTTAACTAAATTGTAAATTGTTGGTTGATGATGGTGATAGAAGTCTCAAAACCTGTACCAACTTTCATTAAAATACTGCTTTTGTCTATGATATTTTATTCTTTTATGTAAAAATCTTCCTTTTTTTTTTTTTTTTTTTTTTTTATACTTGTTCAAATCCATCTCATGAATACAGATAACATAGTCTTTTAATAAGAATGATATTGTTTTATTGGTGTTACATTTCTTTGTCTATTTGTAGAATTTAAAAAAAATCATTAACCATTTTTTTTCCTTACATGACATATAAGAAAACACTTGCATTAGATTTGATCATAGAAGAGAATTTTTAACAACTGTATTAACAATCAACAAGAGAACACTTGTATTACACCCTGTCTGAAGTTATTAAGCAAATCATATAAACTTTGATAATTCAAATTTAGTTTGAAAAAAATTGTCATTTTCGAAAATCAATTCAAATGTCAAAACAAAGCCTGAGTTAAAATTTTAGGTAATATCAATAAGTTTTATTGAAGTTATTTGATGTAGTCTAAAAACCTGCCTTCTGAAGTTATTAGGCAAAACCAAATAATGAAATTTTACTTCAATAAAAAACTAATCTAAAAATTAATCAACACCAATAATAGAACAAATAACAAACACATATGAAAAGTCTTTAAATCCTTTACATTTTAATATGGTGACCCTTCTTCTCCTTAACAGCCAGTAATCTATTATCCATTGATTTTGTTAATTTTTTTACTTCCGCAGGTTCATTTTCCAACATGGAAGTTTTAATTGCTTCCTATAGGTCTGTTTTGCTGTTATATTGTTGGCCACCTTCATATAATTTCATTTTCAAAATTGACCATAGATTTTCAATCGGATTCATATCAGGATTTGATGGTGGCCATTCCATTATCTTCTCTTCTGTAAATCTTTTATGTTCAAAGAATTCACTAGTAAGCTTAGATGCATGAGAAGAAGCATTGTCATGCATAAATACACACTTCACTTAGAAACTGCGAGACTGGGACTTGTGGCATGCAAATAAATTCTTGTTCATAAAATCACAATAGCATTGTTCAGTATAGCTCCTTCATCAACTTTGAATGCTTTAAAATATTTGCTTGAGTGAGAGGAGTTTGCCAAGGAGATTTTTTTTAAAGATCCCAGTTTACAAAGTATTCTACACCTTTTGTCCTTGTTGACTCCTTCAATTGCAGCCTTTTCAAAGATCTGAGTTAAAAATGGTTGTTTCATTATAACTTGCTTTAGTTTATGTTCATCTCAAGGAAGCAATTTCTTAAAGCCTTTTCCTTTGCTTCGAGTTCTCAATTTACTTATATTTTCAAAAACATTCTATATCGTTCAGTGATGTCTGCAAAGCTCCTTTAATATTTCCAATCTGAACATTCCCTCACTCAATAACTTTGTTATTTTCTGTTTTTCATCATTTCTTAGATCCTTCCCATTATCCATGTTTCAACATATATTATGGACAAAAAAAAATAGTTTTTATTAGATTTCAGAGGTTTTAAGCTAATATTAAACATTTTAGCTTCAGTCAGTCCATTTTTGTAAATTCTAAATATCACAAAAACTAATCATTAAAAACAGCTGAAAATTTAGTTAAATATTTTACTAATGGTGAAAATGGATGAGTTTAAATTTGACAAATATTGGTTCAGAACTTTTTGAGTTATTGAAGTTTATTTGATTTGCATAACTTCACACAGGCTGTAAATTTGATCTTAGAAGATAATTTTTAACAACTATTAATAATCAACAAATCCTTTAAGATGTGAAATTATTATTTACAAGATTGCTTATATAAATAAATGCTCAGCTTCCAAAAGCCATTTTGTTTGCAAACTACAAATTCAATAAAATATTGAAAATTGAAGTAAAAAGTAGACCAAAACTTAGGAGGAGGTCTGAAATTTTAATTTTGTTTTTACTAATTTTGGGGTGCAGATTTTGTTAAAAAAAAAAACTTTGGAGAATAAGAAATACGTTTGTGAATTTATGGGATTGTAAATTTGAAACCCTAGTTTGATGTAGTCCACCCATATTTATGGGGAGGAGGAATGGGTCAGTACTTTAATGTGCTGACTCATTGCATGTCAGTAGGGTTTGTTTGTGATACACTTGGTTGATCACCCAAGGATATTAGCATGTAAGTGAATGTAATGACAGGAATTTGAACCCACCTCTTCAACTTTTTATTCTGGTACATTATCCATTGCACCACATCACATCACACCAGAGGCATTGGTATTTTCAAGTGGTCATTTATTAAGGCACTGACCAGGATCAACATTGCTTAACTTTGGTGAAATGGACAAGAACTGCTGTTTCAATGTGATATGGCTGTAAGCCATATTTATTATAAAGATTTTTTTTAATCATATCACTCCATGCAAGGCAGCAAAGCTACTAATACACAAAGTGTTACTGAGTATGAAAGAGTAAGAAAAAAAGAGAAACATTATTAAGGAGCGAGAACAATAAAAGAGGAATCAAGAAGAGAGTAGATAACGATTGAGATTACATTCAAATTTTTGAAAATCAAACTTGACTGGAAAGCAAGAAGAGAGTTCCACAAGGGAGAGAACTGCAAGAAAAGAAACTGTTAGCATAGAACTTACACTTACATCTAGCGGCCATTTCAATGGCAAAATGATGCGACTTTGCTGCCAATCTAGTACTGAGCTTAAATTTATAAAGTCTAGCTACCACAGGGGAATGTAAGCCAGAACAATTGTCATGAAAGTATTGCCATTAGAGTTTAAAATGTTTAAAAGTTGCTCCAATAAGTTCATTTACTGATGCTTACAGCTTAACCCAATTAGTGCCTACTGTCCATTTTTAGGTATTAATCAGTTATAGGTAGAAAGCCATAATTAATGCTGGATTTTCATAACACCGTAATTATGGCTGATTTTCATGAACCTGTAATTAATGCCACACTTTCATACAACTGTAATATTTTTATTTATTTAGTTTCATTTAAAAGGCAAGGAATTTATGAATACTTCATTGAATATGGTTTCACTGAAAGAATTGTTGGAAAGTCTGCAGGTAATTGATTGTGGTATCTGCTCGATTATTGATGGTGGGTTGTTTGAAGACGTGAGTGTATATACAGTGGGTTACCATTTGTTTTTCTGTATGGTTAACATTTTCTTAGGTTGAAGGTGACATCTAGAAAATCTACTTCATTTAGGTTAGTTCTTATGTCTATGTTGAATAAAACACACATGGCCTGATGGCATTTAGTACAAAACAGACTATCACCTCTCAGTGTGGACTTCAATGTTCACTTTTATATTTACATATCCCTGATATTAAGCACTTTAACCCATAGATATAGTATCTCTCTCACTCTCTCTCTCTCTCTATATATATATATATATATGTTTTAACAACATCGCCCACGTGACGACAACGTGATCATATTTAAATGGAACGCTAATCTTATAAAAGATTTCTGTTATCTGTTTGGATTGGTATTGCTTTTATGTCCATCATCCATATGTTGAATTGTATATGGTCTATGTTAATTATGTTTTATGAATATGTCCTGAAGATGGTCTATTAGACCGAAATGTCCGGCGTTGACATTAAACATTAAAACAGCATAATCGCATATTAGGATTTTTGTCTGTTTTTTCAGTATAATTTCTTATATATATATATATATATATATATATATATATATATATATGATAAAATATAGTTTTGATAGAGAAAGATGGTGTAGATGGCAAAGAATAATTCAGCAGTCTATGGAAGAACAAGGATGAAACATCTTCCAGATATTACATGGGGATTAAGGGTCAAGAAAAAGAAAAACTCATGGTGAACAATGAGAAAGGACTTTTAGGTAAGATAAAAGTTGGTGGTCAGGAACTTGTAAGATAATTCAAATATCTTGGTTCACTCTAGAGCAGTGATTCTCAACCCCTATCCCACAGCAGACTCGTAAGCTGCACAATCCTCTTAAGTATTCTGTGAAATATTGTTATAGCATACATATATACGTGTATGCATGTAAGTATTAATAGTACAGTGTTAGTATTTGAATAAATGAATAAGTATTAAACTTTTTATCCCACATTAGCTAAAAAGGCTTTATCAGTTTTATTGCAATTTTCTAATTCTAATTTATGTGAATTAGGCTTCTCAATCCTAAATAATATAAAAAATAAAGAGTGAGAAAGACTATGGTCAACTGAAGAAGAAATGAGAGTCTGCTTATTGCACATTGAACCAAATACTGAAAAAATCATGAAAAAATATCAGGCACAGGTTTCACACTAAATAAGCTTCACAAATAATTGAATAGAAACATTGAAATAAAGTAAGTTCATATTTGTGTGTGTATTTTTTAAATATATTGTTTTATTTCATAACATTTAAATGTATACCCTTTAAATATTTTACAAAGTGTGCTGTGATATTTTAATTTGCCCTAAGGTGTGCCATTGCTTAAAAAGGTTCAGCAACATTGCTATTTATTCTCCAAGTTCTATGCAAAAAATACTCTCAGCATCAACAAGCCTCAATTACAATTTCATAGACTTCAAAAAATTCTTTGACAGAGTGTGGCATGAGGCATTATGGGCAACAATAAATATAACCTGGATAAAAAGTTGATCCATACTATCCAGCATCTATATGAGAAGGTAAGTAATGTTTCAGAGCTCCAAGTGGTTAGCATACACCAAGGCTGTATTCTTTCCCTTATACTCTTGGGTGCATCATCAGTGATGCCTTTAAGGAAAACCAGGACACAGTCAGCATTATAGGTTGCAGTATCAGAAACCTTTGCTTTGCCAATGACATCAAGAGTCTAACAAACTTTATTTATTTTTTATTTTATTTTTATTATTTTTTTAGTACGAGTTATTGCTCACCCTGTTTCTACTGAATCTGTACTATCCGGCCGATGGATTGAACTCGCAATTATCATTAAATATTTCTGCCATATCTGGTCTGGTACTCCTGCATACATTTTGAGAATTCTTGATTCAAAAGAAGGGTCTGTAATATAATTGATTCTGACCTGGCATCTCAATTCCAGTCACTTTCCGACCACTGTAACATGACTTCTCTGTCTTTTCTACAAATATTTGCTTGGCAATTGTCCTGATGAGCTTTCCTCCTTGATGCCTCAACTTGGCAAGTTTGACAGGTTTCTCACATTTTTTGCCTGTTGAAATTTTTTCCAGTTTCTTGCTTCCTTGCTACATAAGATCTTTAAAGATTTAAATGCAATGCCAATCGCCATCTTCTGCCTTCCTGAATCTTATTCTTTTATTGTCCTTTTTCCTCATTAAAATTTTCTCATTCTTTTTCACTCCTAGTAATCTATTGTGTCTTAGTGGCATTATCACCTTGCTTGTGCTGAGATGATAAAAAAAAAACTATCCAATCTCTGTTAATGAATAAAAACTTTAATCCTATAGACTATTGTAAATTAATAGCAGAGAGGTTTAATGCTTTGGGTTGTGAATTTGATGGCATAGTAATTGTGAGTTCAATCCCTGGGCTGGGTAGTACAAAATTCAGCAAAAACAGGGTGAGCAATAACTGAACTGTACTACAAAAAAGAGGAGATATCCCTACACACAAACAGCAGGACAAGAACAATCTAACCATGAAGATTAAATAAAGTGTTTAATTAAAAATTCTCTGTAGGTTGGTTACTCAGGTTGAAAGTTACCCAATGAAAACATGAAGGCACAATGGGACAAAATGCAATAACAACAAAACCTAAATGAGGGACATTAGTTCCGCTGTAAATAAAACATCTGAAATGTTTGAATTAAATCACTAACAAGAACATGTGACACACTCCCCAATTCAATATAAGAGAGTTAGTGTGTCACTAGCAAGTCTTAGTATCAAACAGATGGAAAACATTTGAAGGTAATTTAGTGACAAGGAATAAACTTGAGCCACCCAATGGTATAATGACTCATATGGATGTGAAGAATGTATTTGTGAAGAAAAACTTATATGAATTAAAATTTGATAACATAAATTTTAGCTTCCTCTTTATGATTGTAACTATTGCACTAGGCTTATGGGGGGGAAGATAAATTATATAAGACTGGTCACTGAAAAGTTGAATCAACACTGAGACAACACAATGTTAAACAATAGTTTCAGACTATTATTTTTTAGTTGCAGTGTATTTGGCTCAGACCTTCTGAGGCCAACCTCGGGGTCAGCTAGTAAACAAAATAAAGATGTCAATTTTGATTGGCTGAGCCGAATGTGGGAATGTTAGATAGAAAGTTATTTCGGTGAATTAAGTTTTACACATCAAAGAATGCAGACATGTTAATTATATGTCTTGAAGAACTTGCTCCCCCTGTGGGGTGATAGAGTTACCCCACTAGCTAGTAAGAAATGTACAGGTTGACGTGTTTAATAAGATAAGTTTAAAAATCCCTTTTGTTGAAGTTCTCATTTTACCTCCAAACAAAGCAACTAGTGATCACCCAGCTGGAAGATGACAGAAAGAAGAAAGTAACATATGAGTGAATCAAGACTGTCACCCAAGAGAACCCCACCCAACCCTGAATGAGGGGGCTATACAACATAAAAACATGGTAAACTTGATCTATTTTGCTCCTGGTATTCCCTAGTGCTTACACTCATCATAATCAACATTATTGATGTTCTTACAAACAGTAAACCTTCACTTAGGCAGGTGCATTAAGGTTGTCTTGAATCACCAGTTATTCTGAAGTTCATGATATAAATGAAAGTGTTCCCCAATACTCTCTCATTGGTCCTACCCTACCCTCTTTCTGCTTTTTATTAATTCTCTACTTAGAAATATCCGATGATCATTAGTATGCATCTATCCATCAGATTATGGATGCACTTCCAAAAATCAAGATGGTCACTAATTTGAACTCTGACCTTGCTCTAACAGCTGAATGGGGAAAAACTGTCAAAAATCAGACTAGTATTGTTTGCTCATCACTGGTCAGACCATGATTTTTCTTCAGTCATGAGGAATGGTTGCACTCTCAATGAGGCCCCATCTTTTGAACATCTTTTGGAATACAAATCCAGGCCTCAACGGGAATTCATATATATGATCTGTTGCTAAAGATGCTGGACAAATGGTTTGGATCATTCTATCACTCCAGGAAGTTGTTGGGCCACTTGCATCATACCAGCAGAAATAGCCTCATGTTCACAGGAGTGAAAACATACATAGAAATAACACTAAAAGCATGTTAAATTGTAAATTAAAATCATACAATTTATTTATTGTTCTTTTGTGTACTGGTGTATGTGTATTTTTGTTACAAGTGTTTTAAGGTTGAATGTGATAAAAGGAAAAATCACTTTATATTATAACATGCAATGTCTCGAAGAGAATAGCTGGATGTCTTTACTTTCCAACAGTTGCTAGCAAAGAGACGGAATTCAGTGTCTTTTTAACGTGAAATCAGTTTTCTGGCAGGCTAAAGTTTCTGTTGCATGCTGAGAGAAATTTTTATTTATTTTTGGTTTATTTATTTTAAACAAAGTTTTAATGTTATTTGTTTTATTTTATTATATTTATGATAATCATTATTATTTTATATTTTTATTTATTAATAATAATAATGTCCCAACAAAGTACTTGACTCTTTCTGTTATGCTTTATCTTTACAAGAGTTGGAATAGGCTCTAATTTCCCCCTTGTTCCAAATCTAAGAAGAAAGTTCAACTCAGGCAGCTTTTTTCCCAAGAACTTCCATTTTGTGGAAAAGACTCCTATGTGAATGTTTTCCTGAACACTACAACGTTAACCTCGTCAAATCAAGGGTCAGTTGTTATCTATCCTCCTTATGCTCATAATTTTCAATTTCATTTATACACATTCATCATTATCATTTTAACAGTAACACACTAACTTGAGTGGCTCTTAAGCCTTATGTTAGGTGAATTTCAATATTATAAACTGATGTAATGGAATAACCTGTCAGTAACTACACTATAGGTAGTAACAACCTATAAGTATCTGTAAGTAAACGGACTACAGAGACTAGTTGGGATCTGCAGAGTACACCTCAGATTTATGTGAGAACTACCAACCTTCTAATAGTAGCACTCACTACTTGATTGACTTGCAACACTCTTGTGCATAACTGTTACCTTTATTCTTATTGTACTGGTTTTTACAATAAACCGTTACTTATTTTATCAATCTTGTTTTTCAAGTATATATTCCTATTAGCACTGAATATAACAAAAACAAATTGAAATTTCCTGCTCTGTGAGTCAAGAGCCTTTCATTTGAGAAGTTCTGTGCTAAAGTTAATTTTCTGTATCAGTTAGAAATTAATAATAAAACAATGTTTACAAACAAAACAATTTAGTTCAAATTGCAAAATCATAGTTGAATTAATTATGTGTGATGATCCTGGTTTGATGTAGTCCACCCATATTCATGGGGAGGAGGAATGGGTCAGTACTTTAATGTGCTGACTCATTGCATGTCAGTAGGGTTTGTTTGTGATACACTTGGGTGATCACCCAAGGATATTAGCATGTAAGTAAATGTAATGACAGGAATTTGAACCCAGCTCTCCAACTTTTTATTCTGGTACATTATCCATTGTACCACATCACATCACACCAGAGGCATTGGTATTTTCAAGTGGACATTTATTAAGGCACTGACCAGGATCAACATTGCTTAACTTTCATGAAAGAGACAAGAACTGCTGTTTCAATGTGATATGGCTGTAAGCCATATTTATTATAAAGATTTTTTTTAATCATATCACTCCATGCAAGGCAGCAAAGCTACTAATACACAAAGGGTTACTGAATGTAAAGGTATAAGAAAAAAAAAAGAGAGAAACATTATTAAGGAGTGAGAACAATAAAAGAGAAATCAAGAAGAGAGTAGATAACGATTGAATTTACATTCAAATTTTTGAAAATCAAACTTGACTGGAAAGCAAGACGAGAGTTCCACAAGGGAGAGAACTGCAAGAAAAGAAACTGTTAGCATAGAACTTACACTTACATCTAGCCAATTCAATGGCAAAATGATAAGATTTTGCTGTCAATCTAGTACTGAGCTTAAATTTATAAAGTCTAGGTACTATATGTAAGCCAGAACAATTGCCATGAAGGTATTGCCATTAGAGTTTAAAATGTTTAAAAGTTGCTCCAATAAGTTCATTTACTGATGCTTACAGCTTAACCCAATTAGTGCCTACTGTCCATTTTTAGGTATTAATCAGTTATAGGTAGAAAGCCATAATTAATGCTGGATTTTCATAACACCATAATTATGGCTGATTTTCATGAACCTGTAATTAATGCCACACTTTCATACAACTGTAATATTTTATTTATTTTTTAATTATATCACCCCAGGCAAGGTGGTAAAGCCACTAAGACACAAAGTGTTACTGAGTATGAACGAATAAGAAAAAAAGAGAAACATTATTAAGGAGTGAGAACAATAGAAAAGAAATCAAGAAGAGATTAGATAATGATTGACATTACATTCAAATTTTTGAAGATCAAATTTGGTTGGAAAGCATGAAGCTGGAAGAGAGTTCCACAAGCAAGAAGTACAAGAAAAAAAACTGTTAGCATAGAACTTACAGAACTTGTAGCCAATTTGAAAATAAATTGATGAGACCTTACAACCAATCTAGTATAGAGTTTAAATTCATGAAGTTTAGGTACCATAGTGAAGAGATCATTTGAACATTTGTCATGAAAGTATTTTATAGAAAAAGCATAGGAGAGCTATATTACAGTGGTCAGAAAGTGACTGAAGCTGAGATGGCAGATCAGGACTAATAACATTGCTGATTCTTTGGATTTTGTCAAGAATCTCTAAATATACAGCAGGAGCACTGGACTATATGTGACAGCCTTATTCAAAGCATCGGTGAATGGTAGACATAAAAAATATACAAGATAGAATCAGGAGGGAAAAATTAACAATAAAAACAGATGTTCATTATATCTTGTTTTTTTTTACATTATTCTCATGTTCCAGTATTTGCTCAAGTAGGGCGTGAAAGATTTGAGGAATAATAAAGTGTGGTGAAAAAGTCATGGAAATATAGTCAAATCACTGCTCTCATGTTTTACATATGACTGCATGCAATAAATATACAAAATTTATCTTCTAGAACAATTAAGTCTTATATTTACTTAAGTTTCATTTAAAAGGCAAGGAATTTATGAATACTCCCATTATTATTTACATTCAGAGTAATCACCTCATTATTGACGTTATCATGACTCTTTAGCTATTATTTGTTAGACATTTTTCTTTATTTTTTATTTGAGATCTGCCCATGAAAGGTAGTAAAGCCACTAAGACACAAGGAATTAACAGGTGTTAAAAAATTAGAAACAGAAACATTACTAATGAGCAAAAATAAAAAGAGTTTCAATCCTGATTACTCTTTTTATTTTTGCATTTAAATTTCTGAAGATTAGAGTTGGCTGGAAAACCATAAGCCAGAAGTGAGTTCCACAAGTGAGTGCAAGAAAAGAAACTGTTGGCATAGAACTTATGGTTACATTTTTGCCAACTCAACTATGCCAGTCTATTATTGTGCTTAAATTACAAAAGCTTAGGCACAATAGCAAAGAGCAATATTTATTTGTAAATATTTACAAAATGTGGCACAAGGCCAAAATAGGGAATGAGGGAAAGGATGGTCTTCATCTGTTCTTAACCATAGCAAAAAGCTCATCTGAACAATAACCATGAAAGTATTTATAGAAAAAGCATAAGGTGATGGGAAAGTGGCTGAAGCCAAGACACTGGATCAAGACCCATAATATTGCTGATTCTTTTCTATGAAGGAGATCAAAATAAATAGCAGGAGCACCGGACCATATATGGCAGTAATATTCTAAACATAGAGGAATGATAGACTTATAGATATGTATGATAGATTCTGGAGAGAAAAATTGTCCCTCATGACACGGTGAACCAATTTTCTTAGTGGCTGACCTAGCAATGGAGCAATATGATCTTTCAACTTCATATCAGCTGAGGACGTAAGCCTGAGAAGGTGCAATGAGCCACTCTCCTGGAGGATCAAGGATAGACTTATGAGGGACACTTGCATTAGTATGAAATAATCTTGACATGTGGCTGTACAGGATAACTTTCATTTCACCATTTGATAGGAAAGACTGGATCAATTCAAAAATTTCAACTTCTTAGGAAGACCTGTATGCACAATCCTGTCAAAAGCTTTCAAGATGTCCAAAGCTTCATCATTTTTATCTAGAGCATGATAGACTCTATCCACAATTATCATTAGTTAATCAGTAGTTGACCTGGAGAAACAAAAGCCATATTGCTTGTCTGAAAAAAATACCCTGTGATAAGGGATTTCAGCATTGATTAGTGCCTCCAGGAGTTTCCCAAAAACTGATAGTTGGAATAATTGGATGGTTCACCTGAGTTCTTAAAAACTGGAACAACAGATGATGACTTCCAGCAGGCAGGAAAGCAGGTGGCAGTGAGGCATTTATTATACAGTTTAGAGAGAACAGGAGCCAGTTCGGGAGCACACTTCTTAATGATTATTACAGGGATGCCATCAGGTCCAGATTCTTTGTGGGGATCTAGTTTAGAGATGATTGTAGAAACCATAAACTTCTTCAAGTATCTGTAAATCTGGGTAACCTTCAGGGTTCTTTGAACTGAACCATTTATTTAATCTACAAGGGCAGATTGTTCTCATTCTATATTTAGGAATATATTTCTAGGGATTGATATATTACATCTAGTATGACTTGTGTGATAAAAAAATGAAAGAAAAAGCCATAGACTAGTGTTGACTTGTGAAATTGGTTGTATAGTAGTTGGGAGTTGACCATGTCCTTCTAACTCATTTTGGAGGGACTCCTCTTTGATTAACGATGTCTTTCTCACTACTGTTGGAGGAATCCCTCTCTGATTGGCCATGTCCTTCTAACTCATTTTGGAGGGACTCCTCTTCGACTGACCATGTCTTTCTTACTCATTTTGGAGGGACCTCCTCTTTGATTAACGATGTCTTTCTCACTACTGTTGGAGGAATCCCTCTCTGATTGGCCATGTCCTTCTAACTCATTTTGGAGGGACTCCTCTTCGACTGACCATGTCTTTCTTACTCATTTTGGAGGGACCCCTCTTTGATTAACCATGTCTTTCTCACTACTGTTGGAGGAATCCCTCTCTGATTGGCCATGTCCTTCTAACTCATTTTGGAGGGACTCCTCTTCGACTGACCATGTCTTTCTTACTCATTTTGGAGGGACCCCTCTTTGATTAACCATGTCTTTCTCACTACTGTTGGAGGAATCCCTCTCTGATTGGCCATGTCCTTCTAACTCATTTTGGAGGGACTCCTCTTCGACTGACCATGTCTTTCTTACTCATTTTGGAGGGACTCCTCTTTGATTAACCATGTCTTTCTCACTACTGTTGGAGGAATCCTTCTCTGATTGGCCATGTCCTTCTAACTCATTTTGAAATGGAAATGAGGTATTCATGCCTTTCTCAAGGGTATTTGCATGTAAGTGAATGTAACAAACACAACTGAAATTATCTTTCTTTCTTTTACCTTCTTCGTTTTTTCTCTTTCTTTTTATTTTTTTTTTATTTTTCCATCATCTTTCACTCTTTTACTTTCTTTGTTTTCATTTCTTTCATCCTATTTTGTTTCTTTCTATTTTATTTGTTTCTTTTTATTCAGTTCTACATCTCTGTTTCTACCTTCTTCTTCAGTTCTATTTCTTTCTTTTTTCTTTCTTCAGTTTCACTTCTTTCTTTCTCTAGTTTTCTTTCTTTCCTTTTCTTCAGTTGTACTACTTTCATTTTTTATTCAGTTTTCCTTTCTTTCTTTTTTTTTCAGTTCTACTTCTTTTTCTTCCATTCTATGGCTTTCTTTCATTTTCTTCAGTTCTATTTCTTTCTTTTTTCTTATTTTCTTTCTTTCTTTTTTCTTCAGTTCTACTTTTTCATTTTTTATTCAGTTCTTTCTTTTTTCTTCAGTTGTACTTTTTTCATTTTTTTCTTCAATTCTACCTCTTTCATTTTTTCTTCAGTTTTACTTCTTCCTTCCTTTTTCTTCAGTTGTACTTCTTTCATTTTTTCTTCAATTCTACTTTTTCATTTTTTCTTCAGTTCATTTTTTTTTCTTCAGTTCTACTTCTTTCATTTTTTTCTTCAATTCTAACTCTTTCATTTTTTCTTCAGTTCTACTTCTTCCTTCCTTTTTATTCAATTCTACTTCTTCCTTCCTTTTTATTCAATTCTACTTCTTTCTTTCTTTCTTTTGTAATGTAAAAACCAACAAAAAAGTTTCACTTTTTCACTGGTAAAAGATGTATTGCTCATTTGGTAGTGATGGCTGTATCCATACGTGATTCTATTTTATTGCAACATTTTTGCACATATTGCGTTGCAGGTCACCACACTATTTGTTTGATATCTTGTTTCTATATTTATTTTTATATACCTTGTTGCCTTTCAATTGATTTTATAACCAATTCAAATGAAAATATGATATCTCAAGGACAGTACTTTTCAACCAGGATATTGTGACATGTCAATTTGTATCAGTATTGCAAGGTTTCATAATCTTCAGTTTCAGTGACTATAAAATCTTTTTATCGCTTTTTAAAAACTTTTTTGGGTGTTTACACTTCTATCATGTATAGACTAAAACCTAATTGAAGATCTATGTTAAGAGGATATCTTTAACATACACCTTTTGACAACCTTTTTAATTAATTTAAATGTGTTTCCAACTTCTCTTGACCTTTATTCTTTAGTTTTTTCTTAAATCAAATATTTTTTTACCATATTTATCAAACCTTTTTTAAAGTCTACCAACTCTTTCGCTGGTGAAGGGTGATATTTCTGTGATTTGAAATTATAGTAGTTCTATAACTATTATATTTCAGGAATGAAAAAGATGGGTCAACTATTGTATATGCAATTTCCCAGATTAAAAAGTCAATGCAGATTTGATTCCTGTCAAGAGGCATATTTTCTTTATCAAGACTTTCAATCTATAGGCTGATGGATATTCACAGTTTAAAAACAGGGATGTCTACTCAAACACACATCCCCATAATGTGATGTTTATAATAAGAAGAAATAATGTTGGTTTAAAATAAACTATCAATTGCTTGAATATGTTATATATATATATACAGACAGGGGCAGTAGCATGTTCATTTTTATTAACAACTATTGTATCAAATATGAGTTACTTTTGAAAAGAGGTTAAGTCTAGGTAGGATAGAAGTGCATTTTTCAATGAATGAATGACATCCATTCAAAGCATGTCGTCTGTTTTTTTTTATCAATGACAAAAAGTTTTTCGGCATTTTTATTCATTAAATTTGTACTTGTGTACATAAAGATTCTTTCTAAAAGGGGTGTTTAGATTAGAATACATTGAGTAGTAATATTGAACTACAATTTTACAATATTATTTTTACTTTTAATTATTAATAGACTATATTTCATTTTAAAACAAGTAAATGTAATAGAATTACTTAAATTATTGAAGAAGTATTATTAAATATCAGATATAAGTACGTATATTACTATTATTTTTAAATATCAAATATAAGTATGTATATTACAGCTCTTTTCTTTTAAATATTATTTAAGGAAAATTTCTGACAATGTTGACAAAGAATAACTATTTCATTTCTTTGATTCAGTAAATTTTTATTTTTTATAAACCTTGTAATATATAGTTTCTCATGTATGCACAAAGGACATGGGTCATTTATGATCTACATATTCTAACTTTTCTTATTAATTTCCATTTTACTGTAGGTGTTTTATTGGTTTCTTTTAAGTGCCAGAAATATTTTGATAGGGATGTCTGATTTCGGTATTTATTTATCCTAAATGAACTTTAATGTTGATTGAATCTTTTTTTGAACTCATGTCTTGTGCAGCCAATATAGACATTGTCTGGATCCTCAAGAGATGAGATATTGCATTGGTATACTAATGATTCCATGTGACATTTATTTTTTAGAGGACAGTTATTAGGATTTCTGCAGTTACATAATTTTTGTTTATCTTCACCTCTTTTCATTTTTATACTGTCTAAATTTCTTTGGATTTGGTCTAAGTGTTTATTCAATATATTAGCATTATGTTTCTTAATAATTTTCTCTAATTTTTCAGTACAGCTGTAATTTAATTTTAGGGTATTTTTATTGAAAATAGTACTGAGTTTACTATCTTTAGGAAAATGTTTAATGATTAATGTAAGGAATTATTGTCCTAATTTATTCTTTACCATTTGGTTGTATGGGGGTGTATACCAAATTATTTTTCTGCTTGTTTTTTCTATCCTTTCCAATTTCATTTTTTATGTAAGTTAGTTTTGGGTTTTTGTAGCCACTATATTTAAGTGCTTTATTATAGAAATTAATATGTTCATAGAAAATCTTCTAATTTGCTGAATTTGTACTTATTCTTTTTTTGATAGATAAAGGTATATGCTTAATTATAGATGGAGGATGATTAGATTTAGTTGGTATATACAAAGGATTAGGGTTTTTTATAAGATATGTATACTGTTTTCATTAAATCTAATGTTATATCAAGGAAGTTCACTTTTTTCAATTTAGCACTTACCATAATTTTTACGTTCAGGCATTTAAATTCCTTATATAATATCTTTCTAATTTTATTGATTTTAAAGTTAATAGAGTTCTTTATAACCATAAGTCCATCGTCTCTGTATAAACCAATGTCAGTTATATTAATTTCATGGTACGCTGTGAGATTGTATAATATAAAAAGAACTATAAGGTCAGAAGACTCATCTGAGTCTAGCGATCATATTGTAATGTCAAAGTGGTCATAAGAATTTTTTATCCATTGCTCACCTTTATGTATCAGTACTCATTTTTTTTTGCATTTATAATAATGCTCCTTTCTTCCTCTGTTATGTCCATGTACTGGGTAGCAAAGTCCAACACATTCATGAACAGTTCTTTTGATATTGATTGATAATAATTTTCAATATCAAACTGCATTAGTGTACAGTTTGTTTTATCTTTAATATCAATAGACCAATTTGTCACTTCTTTGATATTAATCCAAAGTTCCAGCCCTACTTTTTCTTTAATTTGTTGATTAACCCTTTCTAGGATTTTTTTACTTATTTTACCAATCTCAGATCTTGTTGGATTTATTATCTTTGTATATATACACACACACACACACACACACACACACACACACACACACACACACACATATATATATATATTCATTCATGGTTGTCCCTTAGCTCCAAAAAAGAGTTGGTTTTGCTAGTCATAAATGGATTCAGCAATTACTCCACAACCTGAGTTTAGATGTACCATCTGTAGCAGTGGTGACACTGGCAAAGTCTTCTTTTCCTTTTTTTTTTTAACCAAGTCTCCCCACAAAGACACATGGAGCTACTTGGAATGAAAGAGAATGAAAAAACTTTAGAAGGAACTAGGAAACTGATCCTAAATAGAAGGCAAGGGATAAACCACTACTCCTGTTCAAAAGACCAGTGAGGAGTGTGAACTGGATGATAGGCAAACCTATCTATTCTTATTTAGGAAAAAATAAATAAATACATAATAAAAAAAGTTCAGTATTTAGGCAGAGATTTTAGAAGTATAGAGTTGAAGTTGACTTTAGAAGGAACCAGGAACCAGGAACCCAATCCTAAACAGAAAACAAGGGATAAACCTCTATTTCTGTTCAAAGGACAGGGGAAGAGTGTGAAATTGTAAAATATAGGAACTTGATATAAGAACAAAAAGTTATGGTAAAAAATAATAAATCCTAAATATCTAAAGTAAATATTGAATGCATGTTTATTTTTTGAATCACATCGCCCCATGCAAGGCAGTAAAGACTCTAAGACAAAAAGGCAAAAATAACAGAAGAGTAATCAAGACAGTAGATAGTGATTGACATTGCATTTAAGTTTTTGAAGATCAAAGTTAGCTGGGAGCATGAAACCGGAAGACAGTTCTACAAACAAGAAGTTCAGTTAGCATAGAACTTACTCCAGCCATTTCAATAGTAAATTGATGAGACCTTGCTGCTAATCTAGTACAGCACTTAAATTCATAAAGTCTTAGTACCATAGAGAAAAGTTCATCTGAACAACTAGCATGACAGTATTTATAGAAAAGTTATGTGGAAAATACATTACATCAGTGGGCAAGTGACTGAAGCTGAGACACCAGATCAGGACCAATAATATTGCTGATTCTTCTTTGGATTTTATCAAAAATCTCTAAATATACAGCGTGAGCACTGGAATATGTGTGGCAACAATATTCAAAGCATGAACAAATGGTAGGCTTATAAATATGCAAGATAGATCCTGGTTGTGCCATCAGCATAAATACCAAGTTGAGAACTGATGTCATCAGGTATGTCGTTGATGAAAATTAAGAACAAAGTAGGTCCAAGCTTAGAGATCTGAATTTGTACAAAAAGATCTAGAAGAGTAGCCAATTTTCATTTTGTGATTAGATAAGAAAGTCTGAATCATTTCAGAAATTTGTCTGGAAATGCCGTAGACTTTCAACTTGTTGAAAAGACCAGTATGCTAAACCATGTCAAATGCTTTTGAGATATCCAAAGCAACAGCCGAAGCTTCACTAGTCTGATTTAAAGTTTAATAGACTCTTTCAGCAATAATCACTAGTACATCACCAGTTGACCAAAAGAAGCAAAAGTTATATTGGTTGTCTGAAAGAAGACCCTGTAATATAAGATGCTTAACCAATTTGAAGTTGATTCAAGAAGAATTCAAATTGAGAATTCAAATTATAATTTAGGATTTAGGTGTTAAGGAAAATATAGAATTAAATAAAAATTTTATTAACCAGTATCTATCTTAATATTTTTTCTTTAAGTATTGGTAATGGTAGTATTAGCTGTTTCCCTATAAGGAAACATTCAGCATTCACTGACCAAGCAGCTAGTACTGCTTTTGGTTGAAATTTATAAAATCTTTCTCTTAAACAATTTTTCAGGAAAATAGGTTTCTCAAGTCCAGTAGCTGTTATTGCTCTTTTCAGTATTGAAACCTAACCTTTTATTTGATGTAGTGTGGAATGTCAACATCTTGATTATGTTATTATTTTCTCTTCAACTTACATGTGCTATCCATTTTAGTTGTTACTGCTGTTGGTAGTTATCATGTGATGTGGTTTCTATTATTTGGTACAGTTCTTTGTGATTCAGTAGTGCCAGTCCACAATGTTCCAAGATAGCTGATCAGACTTTACTTGCTCAAAGACATTTTTTAACCTTTGGACTTAGAAAGAAGTTGTATACAGCTGGTAATTTAGATATTTCTGAATGGGTTTGACATCATGCATCTGATGAGGCTATTTAAGAACATGATTCAAGTTTTCAGGCTGATGTTTTGGTTTTGTAGCAATTTGCAGTGTTGGGCAAAACTACCTCTGGTGCAGCCTATTCTATATTCAATTTCTTTTTCTCTTATACTAAATTTGTTATGAACTAATCTATACATTGTGGTATTTGAAGTACTAATTCCACATCCTGAATTTTTATGATGGCTTCAGGGCAGGTGCCATCACTGCTTTCATTCCAATTTCAGATCATTGTTTTGGTTTTGCAAAGGCTCATACTGAATTCTGTTTCTTGGAACACTTGATAGAGGATGCTAATTTTCTGCTCAAATTACTTCTTATTCAAACTATGAACAGCAATCAGCCATATTTTAAAAATAGTTTAAAAAATATCATTCCAATTTAAATACAGTTTCAAATACAGCAAAGTATTTTGCTTATTGGAAATATTAAATTTAATCTATTACCTGAAATAGAACTAAAATAAATGCTTCTAGAAAGATTTTTCATTTTAAAAATTTCATTTTGAACTTTAGGTATAGTTATTTTTGGAGGTATCTTCATGATATGTAACAACATTACTTCCTTACCAGAATGAAAACCAAACTAGGTTGTGGGCAATTGACTTAAACCTAATTACAAGCAAGGTACTAAATGAAACTAAGTAAATATCATTTCAAGCAAGCAGTTACAAGTTTTTAAAATATGCAATGATGTAAAAATATACTAACAGTTGTATAAAACTAAGAATGAAAGGCAGAACATGAATACACTCATTATTACCAAATGAGCAACAGACGTGTGAATGTTTATTACAAAATTTAAAAGTAAATGTTTTTAAGCTTTTTATCTATATTACTATGCCAGAGTTTGTGTGTGCAGCCATTTTTGTGCTTGTGTATGTGCACACATATGTTTTTGTGTGTTTGTGTAAGTTTGTATGATTATACATGAGAATGTGTGGACTTGTGTATGCATGTGTATTTGTGCATCTGTGTTTGTGTGTTCATATGTGTGTGTTCATGGACTTGCAAGATGACATATTTACAATAAAATAGATACCAACCAACCAATGTTTGTAAAATTTTCTTGATTTATATGATAAATATAAACCATATGAACTTAAAATATCTGTCCTTGTTAGAAATATTTACAATAATTTTCTTGATAATGCAATGTTATTGGTCCTGATCTGACATCTCACCTTCAATCACTTTATACTGCTTTAATGTAGTTTCAGATGTACCTTTTCTATAAATATTTTACAGTTGAATTGGCAAAGGTGTAACCATAAGTTCCATACTAACAGTTTCTTTTCTTGCACTTCTCACTTGTGGAACTCTCTTTCAGCTTCTTCCTTCTCAATCAACTTTGACCTTCAAACATTTAAATGCAACGTCTACTGTATTCTTAATTCTTGTTCTTTATCCCTAATTTTTCTTCTTTTCACATACTCTCTTAATACTCATTAACCCCTTAAATCTCAGTGGCTTTATGGTTATGTTGGTCAATTCTATGTCAACTCATTGGCTTATTTGATGTTGACCTCTGTATGCAGCACCCAGTGAGGATTGAACTCCTTAACCTAACTTATTTGGTGTTTTTTCATCCTATAATTATGGAATAATATAGTTTTCAATACTTATTTACACTATTTACATTGTTCAGACTGTTGTCCTCATCTTTATTGCCATATTCATCTTGTAATATGAGCACTTGTAAAAAAATTGATTATTGAGACATTAGGCTTATAAATCCCAAAATTAACCCACCAATGGACCAGTGGATAAAACGTTGGTTGATTGATTGAAAAGTGACTTGACCCAAAAAGTTAGGGGTTCAATACCATAGCAGAGGAAATAAACTTGAAGAATTAAGTTATCAAGCAGAATTAACAATCTATCCTTGTAGACTAAATAAAGGGTTCGGATGAATATGGCAATAGAGATAAGAATAACAGTCCAAACAATGTAATTAGTGTAAATAGTTATAATGCCTCATCTCAGAAATATACACAGATTTTCAATATTTATTTTTAATATATATAAAGATTGCCATACGTCATAAGAAAGATATAACGTCAAAAGAGAAACAAGATATTGTAATATTATTGCATGATAAGAACATAACCTTGGAAATTGAAAAAGAAGAAAATTCAACAAAAATCTAAGTCCAATAAAAAAAAAAAAGAAAAAAAAGAAAACATTGGTAAAATAATAAAACAAAACTGGTTTTAAGAATATCATAAAAGATTTGAGAAAATTTTAATGCGTAATAAACCAGAAAAGAAGACTGGGAAGAAAAAATTTGAAGCTGGTGTTGTGAATAGGATCAGAGAAAAGAATATTAAGAACATTAGCTGAAACCATAAAAGCAAAACAAACGACGTAAATATCATAAAAAGAAATATTTAAGTTAGGTGAAGAAGTACATGAAATGTGATTCACAACAATAAATTTTAACAATGAATCAGCCTTACAGCTGGGCTAAAGGTTGGAATGATTGATTTGTTTTTTTTACAGCTTATCAACCTATTGCAAGTTATTTAAAGCCAGAAAATATTTTTAGATTGTAAGATTTTTTGAGATAATAATGGTTTTAGTCTTACTAATTAAGTTTTAATCTTACTTTTTTAGTTTTTAGTCTTACTTTGAGATAATAATGGTTTTAGTCTTACTAATTAACTCATAGCTGGAGGGAGAAGAGGTGGATTCATACCTTTCCTAAAAGTATTTGCCTACAAGTGAATATGACAAAGCCAACAGGAATTGGAACTTGGCTCTCTGATAAACTATTCTGAGCCATTATCCGTTACCCACATATCCAAGCTTACAGCCCCTGGTATTCCCAAGAAGTCACACATCTAGATACTGACAAAGCTTGACATTGCTTAACTTCAGTGATCATATGGTAACCAATGTTTCAACATGATGTGGCCATAAGGCCCTAGAGGTTGAAATGAAAATAGTTAAGCAACATCACATGAAAGTCAGCAAGGCCAAGAAGTGGACATGTTTTCAGTTTGTATTGTAGGCAGTAAAATCATGAATCCATTCAAAAGTTGAACACTATTAAGATAGATGCAGAAAAATTATTAGGCAAGTTGATTTATGAGTGGTCCAGGTCACAATTTAGAAACTTTAAGCCAAAATGTATATTCATTAAAGACGAGGCTCCTTCAGATTATGCAAAGATTGTTATTGCACAGAAAAAGGTTTTCAGGATACTGAATTAATGATCTAATATTAATCCAAAAGAAAACTTGTTAGTAATCATTAAAAGAGACTGTAGTAAAAGAATCAGTTACCCAGAAAAAAAAATTCGTGTTTTGTGTGCGATCTGCCAAAGAAAAATTACCAAAAAGTAGTTAGCCGAAATCTACCTCAATGACTAGAAGCCATGCTAATGTTCTTCCCTCCCCTGAATGGCGTGACCAATCAGAAAATTCTCTTGGTGAACAGAAGTCATTGTTTTTTGCTTATAAAAGGAGATGATTTTTTGAGCTGGTGGAACGAACACACATTGTTGTTGGTGAGAAGTGAAGGTTGGATGTGTGACCCCATTTTGTCGTTTCTACGTTGTGTGTTGGACTGTTACGTTGGACTATCATTTGAACTGCAATTTGGCTACAAGTGTTGTGGCCGAGAAACAGAAGAAATCTATTGCAGTTGCTACTATCAGTCATCAGTATTTTCTTTACTACAACAGAGATATATACAAGGTCTGTCTGAAAAGTAATGGGTTATCCATTCTTCCATGTGAGAGGCATCATCCACAGTGACTTCTTGCCACAGGGCCAGATGATCAATCAGCAAGTCTACAAGGAAATCCTGCAGAGTTTGCTTCAGTCAGTGCATGAGAAGAGACAAGAGTTGTGGCAGGGCAAATTATGACTGCTCCACCACAACAATGCACCTGCTCATAACATCCTGAGCATCCGGCAGTTCCTGAGCAAGAAAAGCATTGTTGTACTGGAGCAATTTCCCTATTCACATGATCTTGCTCTGTGTGACATTTTTCTTTTCCCCAAGCTCTAGGGGACCTGGAGGCTATAAAGAGGGCTGTAACACGGGGCTGAGGGGCATCCAAGAGAAGGATGGGAAAGAGCATTAGCCTCGAGAGGGATTACATTGAAGGGGAAACCATGGAGTTTGTTGTTTGGAATTGAAATAAATTGTTTTTGACATCAGTTCCATTACTTTACAGACAGACCTCATATAAGAATGAAAAACGATACTCAAGCAAAAATGTCTCAGAATCAATAAAAACTGTTATAATTGATGTTTAAGTTGAAAGAAGTTAATAAAATCAATTATGGAGAGACTAATGAAGGTTATGGAATGTCAACCTAACCATTATTACTGAATAGTGAATTTGATTCTCACTGAGTGCCTTATACAAAATTCATGAGTAAATTATCCAACAAGGATTGTCATGTTGTAAAATTAACCAGCCTAACCATTATGCCTGAATTGTGAATTTGATCCTTCCTGAGTGTCCAAACAAAATTCAAGATTAATTACTTAAAAAGCATTGTCATCCACCTAACTAACCATTATTCTAAAGGAGCAAATCAATCCTCACTGGGTGCCTCATGCAAATATAAAATTGTGAAATAATAATTTATTCAGGTGTATGAGATACTGTGTCCATGAAGTATGTATTTTTATAGCCAATATATTTTGAATTTCTTTATAAATTAACATTGTACTTGATTTACCTCATAAAACCTGATGTCACCAGAAGTTATAATCAGTATTTTTAATAAATGATAGACATTGTAAGCTGAAACTCACATGATATAAATTTTAATATGTCCTGAAAATGTTATTAGCATTGTTTGGTGAACCCTTAAACAACAGGAAGAGGTTGCACACATGTGCATATCAAAAAGTTAAAAAATGATAAAATTCATTTTTTCAAAGGTTACTTTCTATGCATATTTTTGCTTGAATTATATAGAAAAAACTATAAAAATCTTTTAACTCTTTTAGATTAGAAAAATAAAGAGAAATAAATAAATGATAGATTTGTAAATTTAATATTTTTTTAACAATAACACTTGATGCTACTTGAGACATTCTATATACAATATGTACAGAATATACAGTTGTATATTCTGTACAACAAATTGTCACCATTTTTAATGTCTAGTAAATAGTATCTATGCTGTCAAAAATGATGGCAAACAGGAAATTGTTTGGTATATAGTATATAGATATACAGTATATAGATACAGTATATAGATGTTTGGTGTTGCTATTATTTGAATGGTTTATATGTCAGGCTTTAAATATATTTTTCAAATTATTATACCAATATATAATAATACTGGGGGAATCAAAATATGTAGTAAATGGTTACTATTTTTTATCAATAAATAAAATAATAATAATAATAATGAATAATAAAAAAGAAAAAGAAATACATTTCCCATGATACTAAGAGTAAAGGAACCAGAAATATGATTATCCCACTAGGCTTTGTCAAACACCGTTAGGCAGCAATGGGTAAGGCTATAAAAAGATAAACATTTCCTGCCTATCTTTCTCTCCCTCTGGAAAATGTCAGTTTCCCCAGTTCACTGACAACTGAACTCTCTCTTCACTTTCCAATACACAGTTTTCACATGTGTCTTCCAAAATCACCAGCTATGAAGTAAATCAACCTTTTCTTTGGACGTTCCAACTCAGTGCCAGGCTGATTTGAGCTTGACAATTATAGCCATGCCTACACTCTACCAATGAAGTAAAACAAATTATTTGTTGGTTGTTCCATCTCTGCACAAGGCCGAATAGAATATAACCATTATAACAATGCTTGTTCTTACTTATCCTAACTTCTAGACCAAAAAAAAAAAAAAAAAATGGATATACCATAGCCATGTCTGAACCTTCCAATGATAAAGTAAGTACAAACAAATAGTTATTCCAACTCTGTGCAAGTCTGACTTAAGCTTGACCATTGATACAATGCTTATACTTACTTAACCTAACTTCTGGACCAAAAAGAAAATGGACATACCCAAAAGACATTGACAAATTTGTTTCACTACAGTTCATATATAGAAAAGAGAATAAATGGTCTGTAGTAGAAACCCAATATTTTTTATTTGCCTCTTCTTTAATTGTTCACATGTGAACATGCAGACACTTTAAATAGACACCAACACACAATCTTTAAATTCCATATTGCCTACTCTTTGGTTTGTTCTTCCTGGTTTATTTGCAGGCAAATACTCTAGGGAATGTCATAACATGATGAATCTAAGAGTTGCCAATTATTCATTTAGACTCAAACCAGGAATGATGTCCATATCACAGGAAAAATATTATGTTTGCTGTTTAAGGGTTCATACTAATTTTACTGTGAAAGCAAGCTTATGGGTATATAATCTTAAAACATTGGTTCTCATACAATCACCAAAGTTAAGCAATGTTGAGTCTGGTCAGTACATAAATAGGTGACCTTGGGAATACCAGCTTGGACGTGAGGGTGGTGTTATGGACAATGGCTTGAAATTGGGAATTGGAAATTGGTGAGCTGAGTTTCATTTCCATTCAAGTTTGTTATATTCACTTACGTGAAATATGTATCCATCTCTTTCCTCCTCCTCTCAGCTATGGGTTAATTAGTAAAACTTGCAAATCATTATTATCTCCAAAAAATTCATACAATCTAAAAATATTTTCTGGTTTTAAATAACCTGCAAGAGGTTGATAAGCCATAAAAAATTGTGAGAACATTGATTTGTATAATAAAATCTTATGTAATGTCTATTCAGACATCATTGTCAAATGGAAAGACTCAATACCCAATTTCTTGCATCAATAACCTCTACTTGATGGCTGGCATGGAAAGAAAACTACTGGACCTCCTAGGTAGGATAGTCAAAGAAAGCAAGACAAAAGGACTATCAACTGCAAGAAGACAGAAAGAGGAAAAGCCCAAGATACGAGTTACAAATTTGAGATGGCAACAAATACAGAAATTTTGATATCTGGGAAGTGCTTTAACAGGGGATGGAAAATATCACACTGAAATCCAAATCACAGTTCTTTAGAACACATACATACCTATAGCAGAATTATCTACTGCTTTGAGCTTAGACTAGTTCCCAACTCACAAACCTGAAATCAATGATGAATGTTAGTGACATATGTTGGACATTATACTGTGATAATTTCAGATCAAAATTTAGCCAAAACTATAGTACCCAGTCTATTTAACCCATAACTTGGGGGAAGAAGTGATGGATTCATACATTTCTCAAGGCTATTTCTGTGTTAGCAAATGTGATGACCTTGACTGGAATTTGAGCTCTGCTTTCCAATTTCTTGTTTTGAATCATTATCCATCACACCATCCACACACCCAAGCTTAGAGCACTGGGTATTCCAAGCAGTCACCCACCTAGACACTGGCATTGCTTAACTTTGGTGATTGGATGAGAAATGGTGTTTCAACATAATATGCCTATCCCAGTTACTGGTACTCCTTAAATTAAGCAAGTACAAAAGCTGAAATATTTAGAAAGTGTTTTATCAGAAGATGAAAAATATGACACTAAAAACCGAAGACACATTAAACTGATGAAAGATGCCTTCCAAAAGCTAAGCAAAATGCTTAGAAACACAAAAAAATTTTTAGAAACAAAGGAAAGATGGTTGGATTGCCATGTGATATGCATCTTCTTATACGGCAGTTAATGTTGGACAATCTTTCCATGAATCAGGAGAAAACAGGAGGCAGCAGAAATCTAATTCTATAGAAGGATACTGAGAATTGCATGAATGGAATGAGTAAGCAACATAGAAGTCTTAAAGAAAATATATTTGTCAAAAGAACACTTCTACTCAGAATTAGGATAGTTAACTGATATATAATGAGGAAGGAAGACTTGGAAAACTTAACCTTCACAAGGCACATTGTGGGCAAGAG